AAGGAAATGTGGTCCTCTGGTTAATTGTTTAAGAAGTGATAAATATCGTCTTTCCCGAAGTACCTTAGAAACCATGAACAAATCATTTATTTTACCATTTGTTTTTATTATTGTTGTCATATTTGGGACATCTGTACTTATGAACTAGCTACTTTATTGGAAAAATAAACTTAAATGCTCTTAGAACCATATATGGCGCTGTCCGGGGTACGAGTCATCAAAAGATTGACAATGAAACAAATTGTAAGTCATTAATAGACAGAAGATACAATTCAAAATTGGTAATGTTTTACAAAATGAATAATCATTTCTCCCCCGGAATATCGTTGTAGGCTTATTCCTTATACAGTTTCGGGAAACACAAATTATAACTGAAGGGATAAAACTCATCTTCAAACAGTGAAGTGTAAAACAACATCTTTTGCAGATTCATTTATACCAGCTACAACACAACTTTGGAATGTGTTACCAGAAAACTTAACGGGGGCAGACACCGTTACACAATTTAAGAATTTGCTTCACGTAAGGGGAGATAATGGTATACACTTGGATTACATTATGGAAACAGGTTACGTCAAATTGTTCACAGTCGCCCCAGGCTAGGCTGCAGCGATCTTAACCCAGATCAGTATGATAGATATATTTTGTATACAAGAACTTGTTCCTGTGGATATCATACCGAACATGCTATACACTTTTTTGTGTGTGTGTACAAATTACCATGTTCTTCGAGATTTTCAATTAAGTAAATGAATTATTGTTTGATATAAACTGCAAATATATTTGTTATATATGCACATCTAGTTTGACATGTACAATTCATTAGTTACATCTAACCTTCATTGAATCATTTATTGCATCATGTCTTATGTGTAATCGAGCGGTATTAACATAAGCGCTTCGCTTGTTTACCAATCCATTTTCACATTTTCTTACAATAAATATCTTACAATAAATAAATCAATACTGCTAAATCTTAGCAGAATGCATAATAAACATAGCAAATAAGACGCTCCCCTTATAAGACCAGAAAAAAACGCAAAAGCGCATTTAATAAAGCTTAACGAGACTACACACATCTAAAGATAGCACACCAACTAAATCATCAAGTACAAAATCTCGTCAAAACTGCAAAAGCCAAAACTGGAAAAAATTCTTCGAAGAAATAAATCACCACACAGACGCCAGAACAGTATGGCGCAAAATTCATGCCATCCGTGGCGTCAAACGGACCAAAAAAACACCAAACATAAATAACTCAACAAAACCGAAACAGAAAGCAAAAATTCTAGCAATCCATTTCTCAGCCATTAGTAGCAATAGCAACTTCAATAAGTAAACAATTACAAAATGAAAATAAATTCTCCAAATTACCCAAAGACGATAACCTAGAAATAAACCACCCATACGCAATGGGGGAACTATTCCATGTACTAAATAATCGGGGGGGGGGGGGAAGAAAAGCCCTGGACTAGACCTAACCTCAAACCAAATAATTAAACAGCTACCCCAAAATCTTCTTGAATCACTACTGAAACTATACAATTTCGTCTACCAAAACGGTCAAGACCCTATTTCAAGGAAAGAGGCATTGGTCATCCCAATACCAAAGCCAAATAAACCGGCAGAAGAAGTAATTCTTATAGACCAATCTCCCTAACCTGAAACTTATGTACAATTATGGAAGCAATGGTCAAAAACAGGCTCCAACACTTTCTAGAACAAAATAACATAATAAACCAAGATCAAAACGGTTTCACCTCAAACCGCTCTACCTTACATAACCTCAGCCGCTTAGAGCAAGATATGGCTGAACCGACGATACAGAGTAGGAACATTTCTAGATTTCTCTAAAGCTTTCGATATGGTATCGCATAACGGACTAATTCAAAAACTCAAACAAGCAGGACTTAAAGGCCAAATAATAAACTACATACAAGACTTTTTAGCAAAATCGAAAGATAACTGTGGGATTGACCAAAATCTACCAGTCCAGTGTCCCCCTAGAGAATGGTACGCCCCAAGGCAGCATTCTGAGCTCAACACTTTCCAACATTATGATTAAATTTCTTCGAGGGAATATCTAATAAAATTCAAACTTCTAAATACGCTCGTGACGGATCCCTCTGGGTCAGCATCAGTAGCATTAATATGGCACAAAAATATTGCAGAAGGCATTAAACAAAATTCAAACATGGGCAAATAAAAGGGGCTTCTCACCAAATGCCGAAAAGGGGATAGTATTCAAACACAGATATATGCGCGCAAACACCCCCAAACTAAAACTAAACAATAACCCCATACATTTCCCAAACCAGACTAAATTTCTAGGACTAATCTTTGATGAACATCTATCCTGGGGTGCTCACATTAAAAACCTAATAAATAGATGCACTAAAGACCTAATCACACTACGCTGCCTGACAGGTTCCAACTGGGGGGCCTCCAGGGAGACCCTACTATCACTTTACAAATCACTAATTAGATTCTAAAAAGACTATGGATGCCAAATATACAACACCCTAAACTCAATATTAAACAATAAACTAGACTCTACCCAATACCAAACACTAAGGTTGATCACACGCACACAACAGGGCACACCGCACACAACACTGCAGGCAGTAATCCCCTTGGATCTACGCCGAGAACAACTTACAATAAATGTCTGGGCCTCCGACCAAGACAACCCACAAATCCAACAAATGCTTAAAAACAACCTTAGCCCAAAACTCCAAGCGCTAGCTCGAAAAAACACAATTAGTACTAATTTCTCATTTCATACTAAACTACTTAAATACTCCCAACCTAAATTATTTAGGCGCCAAACAACAGTACTCTTTTATACCCAAACTCCAAACCCCCCAAATCGACATATCTCACACCACCAAACTAAATAAAGAAACCGACCGAAACACCGCTAAATCCACCACACTAGAATACATACATGAAAAATGGCCAAATTGGTGTCACATATATATACACAGACGGGTCCTTTGACTCGGACTCCAAACGCATGGGGATTCGGCATCCACATCAACACACCTACAAATGAAACAAAATCCTATAGACTCCCCAATAACCAATCAATCTTAACAGCCGAACTAATGGGGATAGTAACAGCCCTACACAGCGCCAGAAATAAAAAAAAAGAACAACAAAACTGATCCTAACAGATTCATTAAGTAGACTCCAGGCTATAAAAAAAACAAAAACACAAAAAAACAGTCCAAAACTAATACTTCAGATACTTAATAGCTCCGACAATCTCCGCAAACGAGGCAAAGACATAGAAATACGCATGGATCCCTGCCCACGTCTGTGTGTTTGGTAACGAACACGCCGACAAAGCCGCTAAATCAGCACTAAAATTAGAAGAAGTAAGCACCAACCTTCCAATATCTAAAACGAATATTACTAAGGAAAAAATCTTCCAAAAGTCAGACTATCAGAAATCATACTACAAACTAAAACACCTGCTACAAACGCCACTAAAAAAACAAATCCATTATAAAACCAAAAAATCGACAGGGCAATAACCAAATTACAAACAGGCCACACTAAACTAAACTCACACCGACACCAAATTAAAAAAAACCACCAAACCGATAAATGGCCACATTGCAACCAAATAGAAACAGTACTCCTGAACGCGTAATACTACATTGCACACATTACCAACAACACGGAATAACACTAAAATCCACACTAAACTACAACAACCAAATGACACCAGCAACTCCACTAAACCCCTTAAACCCCTTAAATAACGTACAAACCTATAAAGCAGGAGGCATTTATCTAATCAAAACAGGCCTACTCGGTAGCATTTAAAAAAAATAAAATAAAAAAAATAAAATAAAATAAGAAACACAACAAACAAGCTATCATAAATCTATAAAAACTCCTTCCCCCTACCCTATTAGCATGGCATATTTCAAAACTCCAAATTTCGGCCATCATTAATTAAGCGACCATAAAGCCCCTCCAGGTTGCCTTACCTTTCGGACATACTAATTAAAATGGCCTGGCGGGCTCGTGCGCGAAATACCCAAAATGTCGGAAAGCGCACGTTAAAACCCAAACTAAGTAAGTAACCAGTGTTCGCCCCAGATATAATGAGATGGAATATAAGAAAGGCTCTTTCTTTCATATAATAGTGAGTAGAGGGAAATGTGTGTGGCGTAAATATAAAACAATATTTGTAGTAAATGTATATCAATTGTGAGCCAACCAGTTATAATAAGTATATCTGTTTTCCTCTCTGATGACTTTATCACTTTTGATAGCAACGTTTGTCTCTGGAGAAACGAAAAATAAGGAATCAGAGTAAAATATAGTCGCCTGTGTTTTGAAAAGGAAGTTCGGCTGTCGTTTGTCAGCTATATTTGTGAGATTGCGAGAATGTGTATGAAGAATATATGCACTATATCCGTTCTAATACCTAGTCAAACGGATTTTACAAACGTGCATGTATTCATTAGTATAGGGTAGCGTGATGCATTACCATGATGTCTAAAGATACTAAATCAAACTACAGCTGGTCTCAATCGCCACCTTCCTGACAGTGCAGGTAACAAAAATAATGGCTCTAAATGTGTCAAATTGAATTATCTTGAATTAAATATAGATTTTCAAACTTATAAAACATGTTACAGAATGAATTTTAAGGCTTAGAGAATAAAATACTCTCCTTTATCGTTATTTGTTATAGTATGAAAAATGTGTCCCAGAATACTGCGTTCGCTTTTGAGTAATATTTGTTCCGACTGGGATTTGTTTATTATTAGCCGCACATTTCGTTTTGTTGTTCGGCAGCTTAACTATAGTACAGTTGAACTATACGCGCGTATACAGCAGGCCTACCTCTCGATAAAAATAGCGCTGAGGCTTGGTCTGGGAAAAGGACGTCCTCCAAACAGCAAGGCCGTGACCCGAATACTTCAAAAGGCAGCTAATGAAAAGGGAGGTAACCGTCGTATATAATTTGACGCCGTAATCGGCGGGAGATTGCGAACTGGAAACACGTGGTTCACGAATGATGTTGTCATTATCACACTGGAAATTGACATCGTTCTGAAAGTAAACAGGTGATGAAATGTCATGTTTTGAAGTTAGGACACATAAATGCATTCAATGAAACATGCAAAGGTGGATCATTGCATCAACAGTACTGCAAATTTCGATGGCGAAAGTCATGCTAGGACAAACACAACAAGCCATTTTTCAATGTCTCTTTCGTGTTGTTGACAGTTATACAACATACGACAATGGGATATTCCAAACACCAATATGTTAGTGATGGACATTCAAAGTGTATTCCACAAACGAGTTGTCTGATCAGCTAGTTAAGAAAGATCTCTGAAGATGTCTGACATCTCGGTATAAAAATATTTAAAAAATGTCCCTGTTGTCACTCTTCAAGGCTAATATTCCTAACTGCTTTAACACTAGGAATAGGCTATATTCTGGTCCTACTTTACACAAAATCAATGTAGATTACAGCAGAAATCAACCAAGAAAATATTTGTTATGCAGAAAACATGAAAAACTGTTGATATGATTAGTATGGATATTATTTTCCTGTTCATTGAGACATGCTCTTGAAAAATATTTTAAAAATTCACAGACTGAGAAGTCTATGCTATCTTTGAGATTTTTAGTTAAGTTTCATTATATAAATTTATCTAGAAATGATGAAATGTGTCCAATAAATGTTTGATCTGTGTGAATTTACACAATTTGACACAAATTAATTAATGTAACAATGCAACGATGCTGTTCATGTTAGGCCTACATGTGTGTCGACTTCCACATCCACAATCCCAAACAGTGGTACACCTATATTCTATTGCCCAAGGATGAGTAATGTAAAAGCTTCAGTTGTTCGAGGATGAGTTACGGAGAAGCTGCAATTGTTGAAGAGACTATCTTAAATCCCTGTGGTATACCCATGCTATAATGTTAGCCCAAAGTTTGTGAAATATATTGTATACATTAATGATATGCTCTGGCTTGAATGCCACCTAGGTTCAATCTCCTGGCAATATGCATTGCTTACAACTGATTTTGTTCCATTGTACAAACAACCTTGAGGATATCAGGACAAATACATGTTGACACACAAGTTTTGCAGTGCGTCAGGGGCACCCTTTTGAAAGTCTACAATTTGCCGTGCAGATTTACTGAGTTGTGCCAGAAACATATGATCGTTGGCTCAAATCCTGGTTCGTCCTGATTATGTTTCTAGGTTTGTTTAGGTTTTATGCTCTTGAGTTTCAATAATGGGGTAAACATCTAACTTAAATGACTTTCCTCCCACATCAAGCTGACACTCTGTGATAGACATTTTCAAAGGACAGGACACCGATAAACCAAGGTGACTGGCTCTTACAGTGCTTCACATTGCCAGGGGCTGAGTTCATTGACCCTGCCACATCACTACTAACATTGCACTACTGGTCCAAGACTTGACAAGTAACTGGCCAGTTAGATAAATGCTAGTGAAACAGTGTCCGATATAACTGTCCGTCTGCCCCCCGTGGCTGGTAACATTTCTGTTGGGCTGTCTGAAGTTTTCCTCCATCTACCCTACTGTCTGGCAGATAATTTTAAGACAACTTATGTATTCAGTTTTATCATAACTGTTTGTAGATTTTCAAGTAATTGTTTACATTATTTCAACTGAATCACGAGGAGATTTGTCTCTCTTTTTTCGCGATTTTTCAATATTTATAATGTCTGAATGTGGGCAGATAACTTTGAAGATGGGCAGGCAACATGGATGGGTCACCTGTCTGACTGTCTTGTTGGGTTTTAAAAATATTTCAAACACTATGGTGAAATATATCCTTGTCCACAACTTGTATTATATTGTTACTGTCCTAGATGACTTGTGCAAAGGATAAGGAAGATGTACTTACCAGAAAACTACCTGTACAAATGTTTTGGTTCAATTTAGGTCTGAAACAACAAGTTGACCAGTCATTTCATACTTGATTATCCAGTGTATCAAAAATACCCTGCACTCATTCGCGACCAAAGCTTCGTTTAAAGTACAAAGGACACAACACTGAAAATAGACGGCCAATCAAATTATACAATATTGGTTACAGGAACACTTGTGTACATGAGGTACGAGAGTATAACTGGGAATGCCTGGTAGCATAATGACTTCCATCCTTTGTCTTAATACTCAAGAAAACATCTTTCTCATCTAAAATAGAAGTTCATTCTGATTTGTAGTAAACTCCTCTATTTGTCCTGATAGACTGGTGATACACTGAAGGATGGACTACGCTGTGGGTGGTTTCCTATTTCTTGATGAATAAGTTACCATAAAGCAAGGACATGAATGCCTGAAATCATTATTCCTATGTATTCCAGTAAGTTCCTGTAATGATACGAGTGACACACTGTTGCATCACACAATGAGGTGAGGTAGTTCCTACCTGGCAACATGTCTGAAACTGCTTGGCCAGCCATAGAAAGTAACTGTTTTAGTTTACTAGACCTTATAATGATAACGTATATCAAAACTCCTCAAAAGTAGCACATTTCTGCTTGTCCTTACGATACCTTAACTATTGGGCAGTTTGGCAAGGACTGTTGACCCGATCCCGTTAGTCACCTCTTACGACAAACATAGTAGCCTCTTACACCAAAAATGGTATGCTGAAGACCTATTCTACCCTGGATCTACACGGTTCTAAAAAGTATGTAGTGTGTATCAACAGGCGGCCACTTTACAAATGGCCCGTGACATGAGGAGACAAAATGACTCAAAATAATTAGGAAACTGAATCTACAGAACAAAATTGCAACATATTGTCCAGGGATATTTCTAGGATTCCAAACTAAATGCTCTTGACAGACAAATTGAAAAGACACTTTATTTTGGTCCTGTTCTTAGTGATATACATATATATATATATATATATGTTTTGTTGTGGTAAGATGTGCTTATTAACCCTCTCTAATGTGTTATTGTCGGGGGTATCTGTTAATGCTCTCTTGTGTTGTCACATGTGCTGATCAAAATATTCTCTCTCTGATGTTTGGTGTATAGTTTATTACTGTCTCTGTTGTATTAGGGTCAGGTGTCCAGGATGCCTGGGGTGTTGCGATATTTCCGATGCCCGGGACTAAACCAGGGAGCAGCTGAAGTGACCACTGCCAAGATCAACAAAGTCTTGCAGGGGACATTGGTCAAAACTATCGACACAGAAACTTGTATCTATGTACAGAATGATGGTATTGGTAAGTTCAGAAGCACTTCAAAACATATAAAATTCCTTGATGCCTATTACGAGTTAAGTCCCTTCTATGTCCCTTCTATTGACCTATCAGATTACACCTCTCACAAGATGGTGGGACCCGTGAAGATTCCGGGGTAGAATAGGTCTTCGGCAACCCATACTTGCCATAAAAGGCGACTATGCTTGTCGTAAAAGGCAACTAAGGGATCGGGTGGTCAGGCTCGCTGACTAAGTTGATGCATGTCATCGATCCCAATTGCGTGGATTGATGCTCATGCTGTCAATCACTGGATTGTCTGGTCCAGACTCGATTATTTACAGACCGCCGTCATATAGCTGGAATATTGCTGAGTGCAGCGTTAAACATGTTAAACAACAAACAAACAAAACAAGATGGTGGTGCCCAGTCAAGACGATATGATCAATTATCAAGGCCTCCATTGTAATAAAACGGGTCTTACCATGAAAAATGCATGAAATCACTTGGGCACCTTGATTTAAAACCTTTGGAAAGTATCTGCTGATGACCAGTTGATGGTACACTTGCTTTGCAAACTTTCAGTCAACCGAAATCTCTACGTTGAAGCGTTCGTCAAGTATGGAAACTGGGCTTTTATAGTCAGTTAACGCCCTCGCCTTGAGATGTATGAGGGGCAGTTTGGTGGAGAGGTCAGACATGACTTGGTTGCTGCATGTGTTTGGGACCTGACAACAGTATTTTGGTGTTTTAAGATTATTGCAAACACTGGAGCTGCCATCACATATCGAGATGAGGAGATGTTTAAAAAAACAACAGCAATATGATGTCATGGTTTGCTGTTTTTGTACTACTTATTTGGTTTTTTTATCAGTGAAGGTTGATGACTTCATGTTTTCACTTTTCGTGAGTCATGTAGACACTGTGGGTCTGTGGGTCATGTAGACATTGTGTACTGTGAATCATGTAGACATTGTGTTTCTGTGAGTCATGTAGACACTGTGTTTCTGTGAGTCACGTAGACACTGTGTTTCCGTGAGTCATGTAGACACTGTGTGTCTGTGAGTCATGTAGACACTGTGTGTCCGTGAGTTATGTAGACACTGTGTTTCTGTGAGTCATGTAGACATTGTGTTTCCGTGAGTCACGTAGACACTGTGTGTCTGTGAGTCATATAGACACTGTGTGTCCGTGAGTTATGTAGACACTGTGTTTCTTTGAGTCATGTAAACACTGTGTGTCTGTGAGTCATGTAGACATTGTGTTTCTTTGAGTCATGTAGACATTGTGTGTCTGTGAGTCATGTAGACATTGTGTTTCTGTGAGTCATGTAGACACTGTGTGTCTGTGAGTCATGTAGACACTGTGTGTCTGTGGGTCATGTAGACACTGTGTGTCCATGAGTCATGTAGACATTGTGTGTCTGTGGGTCATGTAGACACTGTGTCTGTGAGCCATGTAGACACTGTGTGTCTGTGGGTCATGTAGACACTGTGTGTCCATGAGTCACGTAGACACTGTGTGTCTGTGAGTCATATAGACACTGTGTGTCCGTGAATTATGTAGACACTGTGTTTCTTTGAGTCATGTAGACACTGTGTGTCCATGAGTCATGTAGACATTGTGTGTCTGTGGGTCATGTAGACACTGTGTCTGTGAGCCATGTAGACACTGTGTGTCTGTGGGTCATGTAGACACTGTGTGTCCATGAGTCACGTAGACACTGTGTGTCTGTGAGTCATATAGACACTGTGTGTCCGTGAATTATGTAGACACTGTGTTTCTTTGAGTCATGTAGACACTGTGTGTCTGTGAGTCATGTAGACATTGTGTGTCTGTGGGTCATGTAGACACTGTGTCTGTGAGCCATGTAGACACTGTGTGTCTGTGGGTCATGTAGACACTGTGTGTCTGTGAGTCATGTAGACACTGTGTGTCTGTGGGTCATGTAGACACTGTGTGTCCATGAGTCATGTAGACATTGTGTGTCTGTGGGTCATGTAGACACTGTGTCTGTGAGCCATGTAGACACTGTGTGTCTGTGGGTCATGTAGACACTGTGTGTCCATGAGTCATGTAGACACTGTGTGTCTGTGAGTCATATAGACACTGTGTGTCCGTGAATTATGTAGACACTGTGTTTCTTTGAGTCATGTAGACACTGTGTGTCTGTGAGTCATGTAGACATTGTGTGTCTGTGGGTCATGTAGACACTGTGTCTGTGAGCCATGTAGACACTGTGTGTCTGTGGGTCATGTAGACACTGTGTGTCCATGAGTCATGTAGACACTGTGTGTCTGTGGGTCATGTAGACACTGTGTGTCTGTGAGTCATGTAGACACTGTGTGTCTGTGGGTCATGTAGACACTGTGTGTCCATGAGTCATGTAGACATTGTGTGTCTGTGGGTCATGTAGACACTGTGTCTGTGAGCCATGTAGACATTGTGTGTCTGTGGGTCATGTAGACACTGTGTCTGTGAGTCACGTAAACACTGTGTGTCTGTCAGACATAACTGGTAATAGCCACTGGTAATTCCAGCCAAGTTCGGCATTGGTTGAAACTGGACTTTTAGAGTCAGTTAACTCCCTTGCCTCGGGAAGATGCCAATCTTCATACTCTGGCGTTAATCATGTGCTTTAAGTATATTTTTCGTTGGTTCAGCTCTTGATCCAGAGGAAGAGAGGAAGTTGCAGTGGATCTTCTCCATCCCATTCCAGGCCCACAAGCTGCAGACTACCTCCAGTCTCCATGATTCTCCCTCAACCCTCCTCCTAGAAGTGGGCCCTAGGTAAAGTCCTGACCACCACAACCATCATCACTACTACAGGGGTTTGTATACACCATGTTCCTCCATCACCAGGGCATACGTCAGGCCGATACGTGCTGACGTATTAGTTATTATTTGTAGTTCACTAATCAAATAAGACCATGAAAAATTCAAAGTTCAACTCCATGCAGGAACTTTGTGTGAATCTTGCCATTGCCTGACATTGAAGTAATGTGTAGACCAGATTCCACAAGTCCATGGCACAGTTTGCAGATGTCAGATGAGAAAAAACGGTAATGGTGCAGTGTAAACTGATTGAATTGGTCTGAGCACTCACTAGTTTCCCTCTTGCTGAAATGAGGCTGTTGCTTGGTCCGTTGGTCAGAACTATACTGCCAAGTGGTCATATGTAGTCTTGGTTGATGGAGGAACGTAGTGTATGTTTCCCTTGAAGAATTGATGACGATAAGGAACAAAGTCTTCATTTCTATATCAAATAGGAAAATTAAACAAAAATACTCTTCCAGGACAAAACCTTTACTGGAATCCCAACATTGTAGGTGGATAAAAGTGAATTCTTCAGTATAACACTGCAGGTCAAAAAGGTGCAGCAATGCCATGCAATGCTGTCAAGCACCAGACAAACGTTTAACTCAGGATGCAGGATAAAATGTGTGCACACTGTTCGTGTGATCCCAGGGCAGTGTGGGCCCCCAGTGTCCAATGCTTGTCATTAGATGACCACGTGGACATAACATGTTGTATAAGGGGTTCTTGTACCATCACACACCCTGGTCAGACAATCAAGCACTGCTTCACCAGGTCTCAGTTAGTTACAGGCTACTGTGAATGAATATTGACGACTGAAACGTTGAAACTGTTCTTTGACCTGTGTTCACTCAACATTCACAGTACACTGTGTGTCATATGTCAGTGACTAATGGTGGGTGTTTAGCTCTTCATGTAACATACATGCACAGTAATCAGAAAGTGATGAGTGAGCAGAAAGACCACTTCCAGATATAGGGTCCTGCTCCACTGAGTGGTCTCAGGGGAAGTCTGTGTTGTTATTAAGGTTGAAACGACTATCAAATTCCTGCAGTCAGCTAGTTTTGTCTGTTTGTTGTTTAATGTCGCACTCAGCAATATTCTAGCTATATGACGACAGTCTGTAAATAATAGAGTATGGACCAGACAATCCAGTGACTGATAGAACAAGCATCAATGAACGCAATTGGGATATGATGACATGCATTAACCATGTCGGCGAGCCTGACCACCTGATCCTGTTAGTCGCCTCTTATGACAAACAAAGTCACCTTTTACGGCAAGCAGGGTTTGCTGAACACCGATTCTTACCCGGATCTTCACGGGTCAAGTCAACTGGTCGGTATCTGTAGTCTTCGGACAGTCGACTTGGTGCTTGTTTTAACTGTTGTGAGAGTTCCTAGATTATGGTGCTAAGATTACTTTGTGGAACTGCAACCAGTTCAGACAGCTTTGCCAAGGTGACTTAGTGAATGATGGCCTAAATCTCTTGTATTCTCTCGTTTAAGGTTAAACTTCTCAACAGCATTCTCCACCAATGCTGTATCAATCTGCCAGTCAGTTGGTCTGAGCAAGATATCGAGGATTGAAGAGTCCACACGCTACCTCATCACCTTCACCAGCGATACTAAACCTTCAACTGCGGAGGAAGACCTCATTCTATCTCAACTGTATGACCGTATGACACAATGTAGATACCTCAAACCATTAGAGAGCTTCAAGCTGTCTGTGCGGACGGAGCCTGTGTTTGAAGTGGACATCATGGGACGTGGGCGGTCAGCTTTAGAAGAAGCAAACAAAGAACTTGGTAAGGCCACTCCAAATTAACCCAATGTGAATTTCAGGTTAGAATGGGTCTCCAGCGAACAATTCTGGTTTTTATGGGGCAACCAGCTATGTTTTGATCATTATCACTTCAACAATATTGATGCCGTGTGAGATTTGAGCCACAAGTCCGAAGCCAGAGTCTAGTAAACCGGTGTTTGGTTTAGTAAGCCCAGCTTATAATTGTCAATATGTTAATGATAAAATCTACTACAGATGATGCTAAGAGCCAAGTTCGGGCAAGTAGACTCAACTGTTTAGGCACAGACGGGTGATGTCTTCTTTCTTGCTAGTGAGAAAGGTATTGTACCCAGACACACTGTGTATTTACAAACCTGAGGATATCACACAAAGCTGCCGTCTGTCCTTAATGTTTGGTATTTGAATAAGAATAATGCGACAATCTACACTTTTCATAGATGCAGAACTATGAGTTATCTCCCTTTAATCACTTCCATTAATTCATTTCATATGAGATTAAGAGAAATTCAGAGGTACCCTTTATGTTAAAGCCCCATCTGCGGTAGTAACTACCGCACTCTAGTGGGCGGAGCTTATAAAAGTGATTTGACAGGTCTATATGACGTCATGATAACACATACATTTCATTGGTTTAATGCGTAAACGGGTGACGTCATGTAAACACCCACCCACGTGGGTCGTTTGACAACAAGGACGTAAGTTTTAATGGTAATATAAATATCTACCAAACGATTCCAAGACTTTTCAGCAAACGCGTACGTCTTTGGTTTCAAAACATACCTGCCATGTCGTCTTCACATCTTCATAAAATGATACCGTGGAATGTCCACGATTTATCCAGCACACAAATTATAGTTCTAGATCTCTGGACTAGAACGAAATACGTTTGTCGTGATGCATATGAGCAGTGTAAATGAAGAAACATAATATGTGTTGGGGCACCAATCGCTATCCTGTGGTGTACGGTATATCTGCAGTTTACAAATAGCATTTCTCACAATATATACGGCAATCGGTGATTTCAACAATGTTTTTCTTCGTTGTGTTGTTCGTCTTGCCTCATTTGGAATCTGGATGACAACGATCGTGTAAAAAAAAACTGGTAAAAGGTCAAAAATATTTTCAAGTGATCAAAGTAGTTTCTTGTCGTTTTTTTCATTGCCCAGTAGCAATCTATGTATTTTGGCAAAGTCTTACTTGTCCGATGAAGCTCCTCATGCCGAATTAAGTAACTCGATCCGTGAAACTTGGCGGGTCCCAGTGACCCAGATCCCTGTTGATTGTTATGCCAAGTGTCATTTGCATAAGGCCATCCATATTTTGTGTATGTGTTTCTCCCCTCAAGCCTCAACTAAACAATCAGATACCGGGCGGACGAAATACAATATATGACTTATAAAAAAATGTCTTTCAATAATTGTGTAAGTTATTTGATGACATTTTTAAAAAAGGTTCAACACTTGGTACTAGAAACTAGTCTATGAATTAATTTATGATGTAGATCGATTCGCTTTGCTTCGGAAACGAATTTTTAATAAACAACGGAAAAAAGATAACGTTGACCTGGTTCTTTTATGACGGTGCAATTGTAGATCTAGTAGTATTTCTTTTATTAGATCGGTGCGCAATTTTCCACAGCGGCAGCGAAATTGAGACACGAAGACATTATATTATTTCACGTCGGAATGGAGATAGAAATATTCAAATACGGACAGCCTCACAGACTTCGAAACGGTGTTCAGATTAATATTTGTTCACATTAATTCTGTCATGTGCGTGAAAATGGGTTTCAACATTACATTCATCAAGCTTACATTCAGGTCGCTGGCTTCTTCGGCATTAACACATGTTTTGTCTCAAAGCTCAAAGCAACAATGTTTCTCTCAGATACTTTTTTCTCTCCATCCATGACGAACATCTGTCATAATGTCAATGCTTCAACATTCCTGGGCAGTTGATTTCAACAATGTAATACACACGGCCTCATTCACGGCGTCATCGCAAAGATTCCTTCCAAATACCCACCACGTGATCAGGGTTACGACCTTGGGATAAATTAATAAATTATTTTGCATTTTTAGAAAAGATTTGTTTTCGTGAATATTTTTTTTTTAAATATCCTGTACATGGTACTTTTGGATTGCACTGGGTATTTCTTTTATTACTTTCTAAAACTTTTTATTTTCGCCTTTCTGACCACGCGATCTCCTAGCAACCACGCCCCATGAGCGCATCGAGTTGCTGCTTACAACTGTCAAGAACTTTGCAATTTCGCTTGTCTTCAATATGAGCAACAAAACATTTTCATGTGAAGCCTAATTTGACGAAGAATTGTTCGAGATAATCAGGGAGCCTTAGGTAATTTCGATTATGACATTGGTGACTTAATTGTGGAGAAAGTTCCAATTCAAGATGACATCATTCCGATTCACAACTCGAATCGACAAGATGGCGCCTCTCTTCCCGCCCTTGCAATTGCAACAGAAACTTTGATAAATTCAGTGCCGATTCTTGGGATTAGTGAATCAGTGTCACAGCTAGATTTCATTGTGGAACCAGATGAAGCCGAATATGTATGTTCACACTTCTTTTGTCAACCATGCGTGACACGGCACAGGCAATCGCAGTTAGGGAATGGTGCGGCCACCATGTTGCAGAAATTCGTCGATTCGAACACATTGCTTCTGGACTGAGCTAAATAAACGAAGTGTTTGGAGAGATCGTAGATACTTGGACTTGAAGAAACGGAAATAAACGTTGCAGCAGATGAAGGATCGGTGTGGACAAAACGGGAAAGGGATCCCAGATTATATTTTAAAACTTGTGCGCGAAGTGTATCCAAATACCCCGAACAAAAAATACATGGGACAAGTGTGGATCTAATGATCAAATGTGAAAATTCTGTGAAAGAAAAGGAAATTCATAATTAAAGTTGTCTTGGAATATGTGTATTGGAGTTTTCGTTTATCGTAAGTACAATATTATCTGGATACGCCTTTAGTAGGTCAAAACATCAGGTATATTTCGTTACTTATTAACCAGTTGCTTATGTGCATTGTTATGTTGATACACGTGACATATTCATCTATTGAAGTCAAGCTGAGAAATATTGGCGCAACTTCTGGTGCTTCAAATTAGGCCCCTTCCTAAACACTAGTTGAAAAATCGGTGTAATAATTTAGGTTTTATAAATATTAACTAATTATTGTGTGGCACAAATCTAACTGTTGAATACAAATGACCAAAACTAAACAAATATCTGTAATTTTCGGATTGAACTGAAAGAATCGCGTCGTCAATTTCGTATTTAAATATCATTACTGTTACATTAACCGAAACTGAAGTTCAGCCGTAAAAATATGCAACACAATTCACTTTGACCACAAATGCATTGAATGTGTCACATGTACACACGACCATGTGCTTTGCTATTTATAGCGCAACCGTAAATAAGCTCCGCCCACTGTGATTGATGCAGACGCCAAACACGATCGATTCGATTTTTTATGATAAAACTACAGAAAATCTATTGACTTATGTCTTGATATGGAGCCATTTGTTGTATCCATGGTTTGTCATTCAAGTTGATACTAAGTTTGACGGTCAATGGTGATCTGGTTCCCTTATGGTTTTCAAAAAACGTCTCCCGACACTCGGTTGTGTTTACATTGTCAGTCATTGTTCGAAACTGAAACACCGCCACCTTGCGGGCTATTTATAGTCAGGGTGGGGCTTTAACTCAACATCATATATGGTTAAAACCAATCTCTGGTGGTGAGGATTCAAAATTGTACAAATGGAGGGGCTGACCCCACAGGGGCTGAGGGGCGGGGCGAAATAAGGGTATTTTGGCGTTATTGCTCTAAACGACTTCTTCTCTGGAACTAAGAGATAGATATCAACCAAACAAGGTTGAAAGCATTCTCCGGTGGTGAGAATTAAAAATTGTATAAATAGTGGGGCTGATCCCCCAAGGGGCTGAGGGGCGGGTCGAAAAAGGGGTAATTTGGCGTTATTGCTTTAAGCGAATTCTTCTCTTTAACTAAGAGATAGATATCAACCATATTTGGTTGGAAGCATTCTCCATTGGTGGGGATTCAAATTGGAGAAATGGAGGGGCTGGCCCTATGTATACTTATATATAGTCCCTAGCTTCAGGTCATAACTTTGAAAAGGTTGGGATCCCCACCCCATAACCATTTCTTCACTTTCTAGGCATAAAGTTTTGTCACTTCCTTTCAAATATTGTTTCAACTTCAATAAACTTGATTTATGTATAAAAACTTTGCCTTTGTTTTCATTTTTGTTTCACTCTGAATAGCCATGTGACGTTATAATTATCCTGTGATGTACCACAGCTTTTCCTTTAAACCGTTACTACCGCATAGTTAGTTAGTTTTCTTTTCTAACATTAATTTGCTTCACTAGTCCAGAATGGCTGATTAGTTAGATGTGTACTAGTTTAGTACATAAATATGGCCAAGCAAACTTTTTTTTAAAGCAAAGGTGTGACCACTTGCCTCATTTGGCCAAGAAAACAAAGTGTTGTATAAACAAAGTGGGTGGGGCTTAATAGCTGATTAACAGGCAAATTTTAGAAGTTGTCTTCCCATATAGATGGAGTGATTTTCACTGTATTTGATACTCGTCATTGTATAGATGGAGTGATTTTCACTGTATTTGATACTCGTCATTGTATAGATGGAGTGATTTTCACTGTATTTGATACTCGTCATTCTATAGATGGAGCGGGGCCGATGGGAGAAATTGAATTCTAACTTTGAATCTACAGCGTTAGAAATTGGGACTTGTCCTATAGCAGAGCTCCAGATAAGCTTTTGGTGTTGTGGGTATTTTACCCATGCATTTTAAAATCATTGGGTATCAGTAATTCTATCTGGGTATTCAAATTTCTGTTCCCCACTAGTTTTTACACATGTGGGTATTTAAGTTAAATATTTAAAAACACTATTCATCAAGTCCCTGCAAACTGGTGTCGTGTGGTTTCGAGAGCTTTATAGGACTCCAAAATACCACGATACTTCCACAAGAAAGTGTGATGGCAAATGATCATGATGTAACTGTCATCGTGGAGTTTGGCAAGGTTGACGGAATGCCCGGTAATAATTTCAAAATAAGTTGCTGATTTGCTAATCGAATATGCAGGGTTACTTCACAATATTTTGATGATATGCACAAGTTTTATTTTTGTAGCGTATCTGTAATGTTCGTTGCGTATTTGATACGCTTGGATTATATTTTACTGCGTATTTCTGCATGTCTGATGCGTATTTTACGCAGATACGCAGCTTATCTGGAGCTCTGTATAGTCCTTGCCAAACTGCCCAATAGTTAAGTTTTCATAAGGACTAGTAGAAAATTGCCATTTTTAAGTGTTTTGCTATATGTTATCATAATAAGGACTAGTGGACTAAAACAGTTAGTTTCTATCACTGATCTATATTATACATATACTTGACATCATAACACAAATACATTCATGTTACCAAGATCTGCCTTGGAGTCTGTTGCCACCCCAGGGGTCAGACTCGAAAGGGACTTTGGGTCATAATTACTTAGAAGAATGTCAAAATCCCCATCCTATGTACCCATGCTCATCAATACATCCATGCTACCAGGACTGGCCCTTCTGTTCATCTGTCCGGCACTCCCAAAGGAGTTCGAACCTTGACCATAACATGCAAACCGATATTATCCCCACCCTATAATAAACAGATACATTGTATGTACATTTGTTTGTTATGAAGAGATAATACATTTATGCCAATAGGATTCGCCCTGGGATCCAGCCTTGCCTCTGGAAACTTAGATCCTGGATCATAACATGGAAACAGTTCAGATCTTTCTAGAGAAATACACGTTCATGCTGTCAGAGTTGCCATCCACCCCTTTTAAATGCTGGCAGAGTCAAAATTATGAAATATTTGCAATTTTATATACATGTACAATGCAAATGTATATTTTGTAATTATTGCGTAAATATCCAGGTGAGCGATACAGGCCCTATGGGCCTCTTGTTTATTGATAGAGTAAAAAATTATTCACTATTTCCCGCAATGTTATTGAAAATAAAATTCACACTTCGACAACGGGTCCACATCGAACATGTCAAAGAGCAAAATAGAGACGTTTCAAGCAAATCTTTAAATATAGTATACAAAGTAATAAATAAAATCAACAAAAATATATCTAAAGTTGTCAAACTTACATCTAAGTTATTATTTCCATTTTTTCTTGCAATCTCGTGTAATGTAAGTCCAATGATATCTTGGCTTTTGTCGCCTCTATTTCTCAGCCCAGACATGATGTTTAATGCCAAAATATATGCATGAAACATATTTGTCACAGATCGTAAAGTAGCACGATACATACACAAAGTTCCACATTTTTAATATAGATCACTATTTCCTGCTTAAAACGTTCAGAATAACAAGATTTAACAGAAATCTTTTGTCAAAATCTGAAATTCATCATACACGAGGACAGTACCATAGCTGTAGATTTTGGCAAGAAAGCATCATTAGAAGCCAATTTTATCCCAAAAAATCGCATGTTGCAGCTACGAAAAGACTCCAGGTGATGTTACGACCGTGGAGATGAAAAAACAAACTTTCTAGCAATGAGTCTTATGGCAGTCTTCGACGAACGTGTTATTCATACGAAGCTTCGAAAATGGAGGTATTTCTTCATGTTACTGAGCGGACAGCTGCTGTTATCGGGAAATTGGTGATGATAGATACTATTTATAATTCTTTTTAAAATAATTTTCAAATTATTTAAACAAAGAAAATAAAAAAGAAATAGGTAAGTGTATTTTACAAAATCTTATATTTGCTGAAAATCGTCAAATTTTTGCTTCCTTGGTCCTTAATCTGGACGTTATGAATGTGTTAGCCTACATTTTTTTATTTACAACAAATTTAATTAAGTTGTAAATGCATTATTTAAATAATGTGATAAACATAACTTTCATATTTATAAACAATAGGACTAGAGCTTTCAAATGGGGTATAACCTGTTGTAGCAAAGATGTTTTACAAGCAGATATTTTCTTTGATAAATGTTGGCTTCATCTATCACGCAAGAGTCTCTGGGAACTCAGTGTCACAGCAGTAAACGCTTCTGGTTGACTGGTGTTGAAAGAGTGATGGTTATAGAAAGTTCAGTATTTGTTGTGACTTGCTGATGGTACTGAAGAGTGATGTTTGTGATTATCAATGATACCCATGTTACATGAAAAAGTGTATGTTAAGCAAAGTTTGAACTGTGTTTCAGTTTGTGGATTGTTACTCCCACGTTGATTATGTTTCAGGCCTTGCGTTTGATGACTGGGACCTGGACTACTACACAGACTTGTTTGTAGACAAAGTGAAGAGAAACCCAACCAGCGTGGAGTGTTTTGATCTAGCACAATCAAATAGGTGAGACTCCTGCTGACCAAGTCTGACAATGGATGGCATCAGGGAGCCTGGAAATTCAAATATCTGTTTGAGAGTACTGGGGATTGTAGTAACGAAAACAGCCATCAGCCAATGTGATTTAAAAACTCATAGTAAAATTTTATCGCTTAGTTTCTGTTATAACTACAGCAACTTCCACATTTTGATGCTCAGTAATCTGAGGTGTGTCTAAATAATCGAGTCTGGACCAGACATTGCAGTGATTGATATCATGAGAATTGATCTACACAATTGGGATAAGATGACATGCATCAACAAAGTTGGTGAGCCTGACCACCCAAACCCAATAGTTGCCTCTTATGACAAGCAAAGTCACCTTTTACAGCAAGGATGGGTTGCTTAAGACCTATTCTCTACCTGGATCTGGGGCAGTCTTGTATTCTAATGGTTAAAGTGCTTGCTTGTCATACCTAAGACCCAGATTCAATTCCAGACATAGGTACAATGTGTGATGCTCATTTCTGGTGTCCCCGGCCGTGATATTGCAAGAATATTGCTAAAAGCGGCATAAAACCATACTCAATCACACACTATACCTGGATCTTAACGGGTCCATTATTACATTGACTGCAAAGTTAATATGCATCTTGATTTTAAAATCGGCACATGAGGGTAAGTTTCACTTCAGGAGATACCAGAGGTGGGTTTGGTTTGTCCAATCAAAGTACCTGCTGAAAGTCAGTTTTTGCTTTGTGATGGAAAAGATTTGTCCATGCAGATAATTGCATTGTCTAGATCTCAGTGATGTCTGATATTCACTTTGTCAAATCAGCACAAACCAACCGGTGACTCTGTGTTTTCAGTGAACACAGTCGACACTGGTTCTTCAAGGGTCGGATGGTAATCGATGGTGAGGAGATGAATCGGTCTCTTTTTAAGATGATCATGGACACCCAGCTTTCCAGCAACAAAAATAATGTCATTAAATTCAATGACAATAGCAGGTATGTGCACATCGGAGATACTTATATCTCTATACATCTCAGGACAAACAAAACGACATCTTTAAGCTACACTACAGTGGCGAGTTTGTGCACATCTGACATTGACAAATAATAAGATCTCTTTGCGATGTATCGACCATCTGTTCTCATACTGGAAATCTGGAAAGTTTTGTGTGCAGAAAACTACTGCAAAGCTGCGAGAAATATACACTCCCATTAGTTTCATGACACAGTTACTTTTGCAGACCAAAAAACTTTAGACATAAGGAGGCATATATCTTGAAGTCACTTTCACATGTCAAACCAGCCAGTACATGATAATAAACAACTAATCCCTCACATTCCCTAATTGCATCATGCGGCTTCCTACTTATCAAACAAATCACCTGCAGTGGTAACTTTGATACTTGGTAATCTTTAACAGGGTATCGCAAAACTTTCCAGATGGAGCTGAGGCTATTGTTAGCCACTCACAGTAATTTAATGGCTCAGATGTTTCCATATTGACAGTGTATCTGATATCTTGCATAGCTCTGTCTCAGTTCCCTGGACCTGTAAGTATTTGTGAATCTAGAAATATGACATCTGTACGTCAGGAGTCTGAAGTTCTGATCAATAATGACATGGTCTGCCATTCCTACAATCAGATGCCCTTTTCCACATGTCAATACACCAGTGTGTGACATCATGGACAAGAGAGATCATTTCTGAGTATGGCACTAAAGGTTGCAAGAGCAAATTGATTCTGATACTGGATGACCCTATCATTCTCGATTGTACGAGAAATGAGAAATACAAAATATTATTTGTTCACAAGCCCTGATGAATGCCCAATGTTTTATTGACATAATCTTTTGATCTTCATTGTGATAAGTTCTAATTAAATACAATATGTTGTAAATCACAAATATCTTGATGATTCAGCCCCTAAATTCCTGTCATTCAATATGTAGTTTTCTGTGATGCGGAAACCGCCAGCAGCGGAGTGGCCTTCTTCATCGCACTGGCCCTTTGGAAGTGTTACTGGGCAGAGTTAGTATTGTTAATAACGCTGCATGACAAGAAGTTGTACATTATTCTGTGTGGTCCACTCCAGTGGTATCAATGGTCATCCGGTCACATGCCTGGCCCCAGCTGACCCTACTGCACCCAGCAGGATGGTCAAGAAAGAAAATATCCTACAACACGTCATCTTCACCGCGGAGACTCACAACTTCCCTACAGGTGGGTTCCCACTCCTCCTTACACTCCGGCCATTCACAGGGATCCCCCGGGTTGGAATAGGTGCCTAGCGACCCAGAGACTCCTCCTTACACTCCGTCATTCACAGGGATCCCCTGGGTTAGAATAGGTGCCTAGCGACCCAGAGACTCCTCCTTACACTCTGTCATTCACAGGGATCCCCTGGGTTAGAATAGGTGCCTAGCGACCCAGAGACTCCTCCTTACACTCCGTCATTCACAGGGATCCCCTGGGTTAGAATAGGTGCCTAGCGATCCAGAGACTCCTCCTTATGCTCCCGTCATTCACAGGGATCCCCCTGGGTTGGAACAGGTGCCTAGCGACCCAGAGACTCCTCCTTACACTCCCGTCATTCACAGGGATCCCCTGGGTTGGAACAGGTGCCTAGCGACCCAGAGACTCCTCCTTACGCTCCCGTCATTCACAGGGATCCCCCGGGTTGGAACAGGTGCCTAGCGACCCAGAGACTCCTCCTTACGCTCCCGTCATTCACAGGGATCCCCTGGGTTGGAATAGGTGCCTAGCGACCCAGAGACTCCTCCTTACGCTCCCGTCATTCACAGGGATCCCCTGGGTTAGAACAGGTGCCCATCAACCCAGAGACTCCTCCTTACACTCTGTCATTCACAGGGATCCCCTGGGTTGGAACAGGTGCCTAGCGACCCAGAGACTCCTCCTTATGCTCCCGTCATTCACAGGGATCCCCTGGGTTGGAATAGGTGCCTAGCGACCCAGAGACTCCTCCTTACGCTACCGTCATTCACAGGGATCCCCTGGGTTAGAATAGGTGCCCATCAACCCGTAGACTCCTCCTTACGCTCCCGTCATTCACAGGGATCCCCTGGGTTGGAACAGGTGCCTAGCGACCCAGAGACTCCTCCTTACACTCCGTCATTCACAGGGATCCCCTGGGTTAGAATAGGTGCCCATCAACCCGTAGACTCCTCCTTACGCTCCCGTCATTCACAGGGATCCCCTGGGTTAGAATAGGTGCCTAGCGACCCAGAGACTCCTCCTTACTCTCCGTCATTCACAGGGATCCCCTGGGTTAGAACAGGTGCCTAGCGACCCAGAGACTCCTCCTTACTCTCCGTCATTCACAGGGATCCCCTGGGTTAGAATAGGTGCCCATGAACCCAGAGACTCCTCCTTACACTCCCGTCATTCACAGGGATCACCTGGGTTAGAACAGGTGCCTAGCAACCCAGAGACTCCTCCTTACGCTACCGTCATTCACAGGGATCCCCTGGGTTAGAATAGGTGCCCATCAACCCGTAGACTCCTCCTTACGCTCCCGTCATTCACAGGGATCCCCTGGGTTGGAACAGGTGCCTAGCGACCCAGAGACTCCTCCTTACACTCCGTCATTCACAGGGATCCCCTGGGTTAGAATAGGTGCCCATCAACCCGTAGACTCCTCCTTACGCTCCCGTCATTCACAGGGATCCCCTGGGTTAGAATAGGTGCCTAGCGACCCAGAGACTCCTCCTTACTCTCCGTCATTCACAGGGATCCCCTGGGTTAGAACAGGTGCCTAGCGACCCAGAGACTCCTCCTTACTCTCCGTCATTCACAGGGATCCCCTGGGTTAGAATAGGTGCCCATGAACCCAGAGACTCCTCCTTACACTCCCGTCATTCACAGGGATCACCTGGGTTAGAACAGGTGCCTAGCAACCCAGAGACTCCTCCTTATGCTCCCGTCATTCACAGGGATCCCCTGGGTTGGAACAGGTGCCTAGCGACCCAGAGACTCCTCCTTACTCTCCCGTCATTCACAGGGATCCCCTGGGTTAGAATAGGTGCCCATGAACCCAGCGACTCCTTCTTACACTCCCGTCATTCACAGGGATCACCTGGGTTAGAACAGGTGCCTAGCAACCCAGAGACTCTTCCTTCCACTCCCGTCATTCACAGGGATCCCCCGGGTTAGAATAGGTGCCTAGCAACCCGTAGACTCCTCCTTACGCTCCCGTCATTCACAGGGATCCCTTGGGTTAAAATAGGTGCCTGTCAAACCACAGTTTCACTGGTCATAGACCAATAAAATTTTGATTTGACCGATGGTTTGTTTGAGTAGTCAGACTTTTGACCGATAGAAATGCTAAGCAAGACGTCAGGCAATTCATAATTAAGTAATCAGTAAGGATTAGTTCTACTGTCAGTATCGATCTAATAAAACAATGCACAGCTATCAAAAATTGTAATTGAAACAGTGCTTGTCATTGCATCGCGACGTTCAATGGTCAGATCACATGAATTTATCCACAAATGGCTTTGCATTGATTCCCCGATATGGTTCATCTCCTTTTTTGTTGATTTGTGAGCACATGGCATAAGTTATTCTGTTGTTTTGTTGATGTGACTTATTGCCTTTTCCATTGACTTATTGCATGTCTTGGGTGCAAGTCAGTGGCCTACAGACAGCTTTTTGTATCAAAATCACTGCATTACATAGGGCATTGTAATGGATCTAATTGTCAAGCTCGTTTGTGTTTCAATGTTTCCTGGCGGCATGGGATATGGCCACAATATCAATCACTGTTTTGTCTGGTCCACACTCGATTATTTACTGGCTGATGTCATGCAGTTGAAATATTGTTGGGTGTGGCGTTAAATTACATACTAAATTACATCCCCAACTAATATGCTATGTATCTTCAGGAGTGGCTCCGTTCCCGGGAGCAACAACAGGCACCGGTGGGCGTATCAGGGATGTTCAGAGCACAGGCAGAGGTGCTCATGTTGTAGCAGGCACTGCTGGTTACTGCTTCGGTAACCTCCACATTCCAGGTAGGCTGAACTTTACCTTGTAGGTCTGAATGTCATCATACAAAACTTGTAATTATGCTTCAGGGATCCAAGTTAATTTTTTCTGAAGAAGGCATTTGGCCCTGTGTTTATTTGGTGTGTTAGTGAACATATCATCACAAAAACCTCCCAACATGCCAGACAACTAATTTTACAATTTCAGCATAAAACTTTGTTGTCATGTACTGTAAATCTGGAAATTAATGCATTTCCAAATTAATGAGACTGCTGACCCCTAGCTAAAATGCAACTCAATATCAGTGCAACTCCCCCCCGACCCATCCCCAGTGGAATGATACATATCCTTACCTTAATCCAATCAATCAACAAAGAGCACTGGTTATTAGCACTGAGTAGAACACTTCCGTAAAAACAATAAACAGTGTTTTCCTAAAAACACAGTTTATATGTTTACAGAGACTGGTATTATAGAAGTTCAAATGCAATAAATTAATTGAAACAACAACAGTTCACTGATTGCTATGCGGAGAAGGTGTCAACAAGCTTGACACGAGTGGGTAGAATTCCTGACCTCAGCGGTGATAACTCACTGGATGCCCATTGTGTAATTCCTATTCTTTGAATGACATTTTTATATACTTGTTACAACTGCTGCTCAATAAACTGTGTTTGTGTTTATATTCAAATTGGTATTTCCGCTATCCAAAGTGTGCAGTGAGGCCGTCTTATTGTTGATAGTCATTTGGAGACACAATTGCGAAGTTAATTAATGGGAGCAAAAACCACTCACATTTTTCGCATTTAATTCACGCTCACATTAATTTCAAGATTTACAGTATATGTGTACAAAGCACTTCTAAATGCCCATCCAATAGTTAATTTGTTATCTACTAGCACAGTCAAATAGACAAACAAGTGATAGAGGGGATGCATCTTGTTAGTAAGAATTTCTTCAGAGACATTTTGGTAATCATGAGTCACCTGTACATATGAAAACCTACATATGAAGATCCTGGGTAGAATAGGTCTTCAGCAACTCATTCTTGCTGTTAAAGTCAACTATACTTCTCATAACTGGTGCTAACGGGATGGGTTTGTCAGCCTTGCTGAATGTCACTGTATCCCAACTGCCAAGATCGATGGATCACTGGATTGTCTGGTCCAGACTGAATTATTTACAGACTGCCATATTGGTTGAATATTGCAGAGTGCGGCGTTAAACAACAAACAAGCCAATCAAGGTAGAGCCATATGGATTTAAATACCCCCCTGCCACATATTAGCATCACGAATGTCATAAATCTGATTAACACATGGGTGTTTCTTCTGCTTCACGGAATTGGGCCCAGGGACCTAGATGTTTGTTGTACGATGAGACTTTGCAGTGATAGAATGTAACAGTTTTAGTCCACTAGTCCTTAAAATGACAAAATATAGCAAAACCGTAAGAGAGGGCAAATTTCTACTATTCCTTATGAAACTTTAACTTTTGGGCAATATGGCAAGGGCTATAGGACTAGTGCCTATTTCTAACACTGCTTAGTGGATCGAATGGTCAGTGTTGGTGGATTGCATGTCATCAGCTGCTCATGATGGTAGTTACTGGTTTGCCTGGTCCCAGCTTGATTATTTGTATGGCGGTTTCCAAACTATGTGTCCTTGGCAAGTATTGTTACTTGCCCAAATTGGTCAGTCCTATTTACTGACATATGCTGCATAGGCTCTTAGCAGGCCCAGATAAGTCCCCGATAGCTGATTGAGGTGGTAAACAACCAACAAACTAACTTCATGAGAATTGATTGTCAAATGTCGGTTGTGACTGAGTCATTAAGAGAGCAGTGAAGCAGTTCACTGGAGGGTCTCACATGGAGAGAATGACGTATCATTTACATCATACATTCTAGGTTACAAACTCCCGTGGGAGGACGAGCAGGTGAAGTATCCCCCGAATTTTGCCCCTCCCCTGGAGGTCGCTGTGGAGGCCAGTAACGGTGCCTCAGACTATGGCAATAAGTTCGGTGAGCCAGTTCTGGCAGGTTTTGCCCGGTCATTTGGGATGATCCTCCCGGAAGGTGAGAGGAGGGAGTACATCAAGCCGATCATGTTCAGCGGGGGTATTGGGGCGATGGACGGCAGACATGTCCACAAGGCCGAGACAGAGAAAGGTAAGGATGTTTGCTCTAAAGATAGGAGGAACCAAATGTTTAAATGTGTTTTGTGTTTTTACAATGTATTAAAGAGCATACTGGTTTTTCTGTGTTACTTTCGGGTGGTCAGGCTAGGTGACTTGGCTGATGCGTGTCATTGTATCCTAATTGTGTAGGTCGATGCTCATGATGTCAGTCACTGGATTGTCTTGTCCAGATTTGATTATTTACAGATGGACGTCATATAGCTGGAATATTGCTGAGTGCTTCATTCAACAACAAATAACCATAACATTGGCAGTCGGTAGTGTCTGACAAACAAACATCATACAGAAACTCTTTCGGACACTCCACATGGTTAGTAGACGCATGTTGTAGGGCAGACGGAAGCTATACTGACTGTTGGCACTAAATACTAACTACTTTGTAATTCTGTCTGACCAAAAACAACAAATTTCTTCGCCCACATTTTATTTCTTGGTTCCCTGCAGGAATGAAGGTTGTGAAGATTGGTGGCCCTGTGTTCCGGATTGGTGTGGGGGGAGGGGCAGCCTCGTCTGTGCACGTTCAGGGGGACAACAAGGCTGACCTGGACTTCGGGGCTGTTCAGCGGGGTGATGCAGAGATGGAGCAGAAGCTGAACCGCCTCATCCGGGGCTGTGTGGAGCTGGAGACGAGGAACCCCATCTGCAGCATACACGACCAGGGTGCAGGGGGTAATGGTAAGACCACATCCACTCACTCACTGCTCCAGTTATGCTTCTAATATCACTGATGCAGATACATTTTGATTTTGATGAATAATTGTCATCTCTTCCAAGTTGTACCAGGCCTCTCGACCCTCAAAGTAGCAACCAAGTTAAATGACCTAAATTAACATTTATTGTATTTATTGCTTGGTTGCCAGTTGGCTCCTTTTTATAGCTTGGCAACTAAAATATTTAACATATTGAATGACACTGGAGTAGAACATCTCTTGTCTGTATCAACATCATGACTTCCCTGTTTAGGGTGTAGTTTTACTCCTTAAGGCAATACTGAAGCCTATGCTGCTTCTGATGCTGCTGTCTGTAATGCAGCAAGTTTAGGTATGGCTGGTCATGTGGACATTTCTGTTTTCTTTCACAATGGTGGCATGTTCAAATCATTGAAGAATATTTCTACATGTTTTCAAGAGTCATCTCTACATGCTCTAAGCCAAACTGTCCATCACAGAATGATAGGACTCTGGCTATCACTGCCAGCAGTCCAAAAAGGGGCATTTATTAGATGCAGATGTTGGTGGGCATAGTGAAATCGGAGATTTCAGCATTGGGAGGCAAGATGAGACTGAAATTACTTCATCTGCTATAAATGTGATGGTAATAAATGAATTGGAAATCCAAGCGAATTCGTAAAACAAACATTAGAATAAGCAAAAAGGCAGCATTGATTCAGGTAATTGGCTGTGTGAATTCCAGTGGTCTTTCGACAAAAGTTTTGTTGTTCAGACACATAAGAACAATTGGAATGTCTACAATCCTGTCTTGTCTTTTATGGAATTTCTTTAATAATAAATTCTTTGTAAACTTAAATCAATGTGGATCCTTAAATTTTAATGTGGCTCTTTAAAGTTTGAAATGGCACCTATATGAGGAAATCATGTAAGCTTGGAGTGCTGTCCGTATTAGTTACCAAACATGGCCTTCCCCTTCAAAGCCTGTACACTAGCAATCTGCAAGCTAAGCAACCACCTCTCTCAGCATTTCATAGAACCGCTTCATTCACCCACATCACTAACAAACAAGCTGCCTCAAGTCATTCCAGTGTCACCCACTTCCCCGAGGCAAGGGCGTTAACGTACTATACAAGTCCAGTTTCCATCCTTATCCTGCAATGTGCATGAAATCACTTGAGCACCTTGATTAAGAACATGAAAAGATATGCAAAATATGTGTTGGCTACCAGTTATTGGTGGACATGCTTTGCAAATCCTGTAATCAACTAAAATCTGCATGTTAAAATCTATGTTGTTTACGAACTGGATGTCTAATTTGTAATGCAAATTTGATTGGAATATAGACTCATAAGTCCAGCCAAAATATACCTCCAGAATTCCCGCCTAGTTCAGCAAGGGTGGAAACTGGACTTTTATGGTCAGGTAACTCCTTTGCCTCGGGAAGTGATGAAAACAATTGTTACCAGTGTTCCCTTTGGTATTTACTTGAATGGAATACATCCTATGCATGATCCAACCAAACATGCTCCATGTGAATAATTTGTGTCATTGCATCACTTGTTCCAGGCAATGTCCTCAAAGAGATCTGTGAGCCATCAGGCGCCATCATTCGAGCTGATGACTTCCAGCTGGGTGACCCGACACTCAGCATCCTAGAGCTGTGGGGCGCTGAGTACCAGGAGAGCAACGCCATCTTGGTGCGGCCCAAGGACGTGGAATGCCTGAAGCAGCTGGGGCAGAGAGAGCGGTGTCCCGTGTGCTTCGTGGGGACAATCACAGGAACAGGGAGGGTGAGATGCATCGTTTTCTTGTCATACACGCCAGATAGATAGTGGTGTTTCATTATGATACATCAGAACTCAACACTTCATATGATCTCATCAAAGAATTTTTTAACAGTATTCCAGTTATAGCACGGCTTGTCAGCTTTATGTAGGAGGAAAGCCCGAAGTGATGCAGGTCTCAGACGTTTACCACTTCGGTGAAACCCACGAGCATGGGTATGGTGCTGACAAACCTAGAAATCAGGGCGAACCAGGATTCGAGCCCACAATCATAGGTTTCTGGCATGCCCAAGGGACGCAACTCTGCACAGTGAATCACTGGGCCACCTGTCTTACCAAGATATATTTTGCACACTATTTAGTTTAACAGTGTTGGTAGTGTTATATATACAATTACATTAAGTAATACGTTACCACTGTTATACCGAGGCTGTTGTCTTTCACAACTGCTGCTATAGCGAAATCTACCACAGAGATCTCAATTACCTGATGCAGCACGTGGGTAGCCACCTAGCTGCCATGTGACACCCTTCACTCTTGTCTCTTCGCTTGCTCTAGCAAGACGTACAATAAACTGCTGAAGCGTTCCTGTTTCTCCGACCATTCGGTGATATTTATTACTGTTTATTCTCTTTAATAAACTGTGCTTTTCCGGGGCGTTTGCTGTAACTACGCTTGGAAATATTTTTCCCGCCAAAAGCGGGGTGTCTCGTATGCACTTTGCGTCTTACGTTCCCCTGTTCTAGTATATCTTTTTTATTTACATCACTTATTCCTCTATATGTTATATGTGTATGTTCTATATTCGCATTACTCGTTTATTTTCTGGTGAAAATACTCGTTTGTGACTATTTGTGGTGCGTGTGTTGTAACCATGTTTTGCTCTTTGTTCATAGTACAAACAAAATGTCTGACATGGATGTTTCGCCGTCCTCCACCCCCTCTACCCCCGCAACCAGGAGCTGCGGGGTGTGCCGCAAGCGAGCGCTACCGGCTGTATGTGCAGTCCGTTTCCACCCCTGTGGTGGCTGGCTCGTCCGGTCGGGGTCCCCTTGCGGGTACCACCACCACGGCTGCGGCAGATCCCTTGGCGGCCCGTAGGGGCTGTCCGGGGATTCCGTCGCTGCATTACTTGCATAACTTGTGGACTCCAAGCTGGCGGCCTTATCTCAGGATAGGCCGCTGGCTGTTCTGTCCCCGGCCACTTCGGTGGTCGCGGGGTCCACCGGTACGGCAGCTCCCGTGGTCACCGGTCCTTCCCCCGAACCGTTGCTCCCGCTATCGGTTAAGGACCGCGTGGCCATGGTTTATGACCTCTTTGAGGACATGCCACGGCCCGGGCCGGTACCACGGGGAATCCACGGCAATGTGGGTTCCTCCGAGGTATACGATGAGTCTTCCGACACGGCTTTCCCCGCATCAACCTTGCTGCGCGGTATCAAGCCTTCCTTGGAGAACGCCTTCGCGGCGGTCTCCGGTCGGGGTCTCCCGTTGCCTCCGACGTCCTGGAGAAAGGGTTTATTCCCGGTACATGACCTTGCCTTTCCCGAGGCTGGTCCTACCGCGGAGGCCCATGTTGAGCGGTTGGGTGTCCGTGCCCCACCGGCTGCTACGGTAACGCAAGCTACCTTGCACCAGCTGGTCGCCCTCGCTCGGCACTCCATGCTTGCCATGTCTCACGGAGACACTTACTTGGCTGCAGCAGGCCAGTCTGGTCGAAGGTTCTCCCACGGACCGTGACCAGCGCATTTACAACTGCCGGCTCAGTTTAAATGCTTCCCTGACCTTGCCTTTCACTTGCTTTTGTTGGGTCCCTGCATAGACGCCTGGGTGCCGCTCCTAAACGGAGCGCGCCCCAGGCTGCTGCGGCCGGTAGGTCTAAGGGGTCGGGTTCTTCTTCCTCTGGGAAGAAGCCCCGCCCTGAGGGCCCGGTATGGGCAATCAGCTGCCCTTTCGCGGGAAGACGGGGAACTGGGGGAAGCCCAAGTCGTCTAAGGACGGCAAGGGCCCCTCCAGGTGACTCTCATTGGAGGGGTTCGTATGCCGACAGCGCCAACTTCAGTTGGCCCTTAGGCAAACCCGAGTCACTTGGCCCTGGACAGTTGCGCCTGCCGCAGCCTGTCAGGGCCCCCTCTCCTTCCCCAGTGGGAGCCAGACTCCAGACTTACTGGGAGAATTGGGAACAAGTGTTTGACGACCCGTGGGTGGTCAACACGATTCGGTACGGCTATCGGCTAGATCTCAAAGCGAATCCGCCGCTCACCGTTGCCCCGTTGGCAGGTTTCGATTCGGAAACCGATCTTCCCCTCCTCGCCGATGCCATCGGCAGGTTGGTGGAGAAGGGGCAGTACGGGGTTAGCTCTACCAGAAATAACACCGGGGTTTTACTCCAGGATATTTCTCGTTCCCAAGTAGGACAGTGCCGAACTCAGAATGATTCACACGTCCGCTTCCTGGCTGTTCACCCGGTTCACCACCCCCATAGTGGGGTTCCTCCACATGAGGGGTGTCAGGTACTTCGCGTACCTGGACAACTCGCTCGTTGCAAATTGAATGACGGACGTGCTGTCTCGTCCTCTTGGAGCAATTGGGGTGGATTGTCAATCTCCCCAAGAGCGAGTTAACCCCCCTCACAGAACTTGAAGTTCTTCAGAGGTCGGTTCGAAACGGTGACCCATCGCCTCTTTGTCCCCCCAGACCGGTGGCACAAGATTCAGGCGATGATTGCCAAAGTCTAAGCGGTGCCACAGACTGTTCCCTTTTGGGAACAGCTGTTAGGGCTACTTGTGTCTGCCCTGGACTGCACCGATTGGGGTCGTCTCCAACTCCGCCTGCTGCAACGGTTTCAAATCCAGTTGTTAGCACAGGAGGAGAACAGTGCGACCGTCGCCCTCGTAGATCGGCTCCGCCCGCATCTGGAGTGGTGGACGGTCCCTTACAATGTCTTATCAGGAGTCTCTATGCGGCCCTACCGGGCCACGTTGAACCTGTATACAGACGCCTCTCTAGTGGGCTGGGGCGCCCATCTAGAGGGGGAGGTGAGCTCGGGGCTGTGGTGCGTAGACGAACTAGGTCTTCACATCAATTGTCTCGAGTTCAAGGCAGTGATAAACGCAGTCAATCACTGGAATCATCGTCTCGTCGACGCCCGGCTCATGCTGGCGACCGACAACACGACGGTAGTGTCCTATGTGAACAAACTGGGGGGAACCCACAGTCACTCGCTACTCGATCTCACGTTCGAGTTTTACGCTCTGGTGGACAGTGTCCCGTGCCAGGTACGCACCCGTCACATCCCAGGTGTGCGAAACGTACTGGCCGACGCTCTATCGAGGCCTCGGGAACCGAACCCCACAGAGTGGATGCTCAACCCAGTAGTGTTTCAGTGGCTGTGCGAACGTGTGGGTCGTCCGATGGTCGACCTGTTCGCAACCGGGTTCAACAATCAACTCCCGTTGTTTGTATCACCAGTCCCGGACCCGAGGGCCATCGATCACGATGCTCTCGCGTTAGACTGGACGGGCATGGACGCTTATGCTTACCCACCGACGGCGTTAATACCACTCATTCTAAGCCGGCTCCGAGGAGTTCGCTGTCGAATGTTACTGATCGCGCCCATGTGGCCGAACAGATTGTGGTATCACGACTTGCTGACCCAGGTCACGCAGTCGCCACTCCCACTGCCTGTGAGACCGGATCTCCTGATCCACCCTCACACGCGTGGATGTTGTCACCGAGCGTCTGAGGAGTAAAGGTTTTTCTCGTCGGGCGTCTTGGGCATACATTAGTATGCATCGTGATTCCACCCAGAAGGTGTATAATGCACGTTGGGTTATTTTCACGAAGTGGTGTTGTAAACATCACATTCATTCGCCAGATAAGGTATCTGTGCAGGATATTGCTCTTTTCATGTCTCACTTGCGAGAGACCCGGAAACTCTCCGGGGGTTCCATTGCCAACTATGTCTCTTCCGTTGCTACGGTAGGGGACGTTGCTATGGGTACCAGTCTCTCATAAGAGCCGGTGATTCGGGGTATTATCAAGGGTTTCAAACAGCAAGATCTTCAGAAAGGCCGCCTTCGGGCATCGGCCTGGGATCTTTCCTTAGTGTTGAAATCACTTACGGAAGCTCCATATGAACCCTTGAGTAGTGCTTCGTTCCGGCATGTGCCTTGGTAAACAGCATTTCTCCTCTCCTTTGACATGGGCCAAACGGAGTGAGAATTCACTGTAAGATCACTCAAAGAAATCTTACATCCTGCTGATACTGAGGACAGAGCGCTGTGTCCGGTTAGGGCCCTTAAGTATTATCTTAAGGCTTCGAATGAACGTAGACAAGGGCGTGACCGTCTGTTCATATCGTGTAACCCTAATCGCACGGTTGACATAACTCGCAACTCGATTGCGTTGTGGCTTCGTTCTGTCATCAATCTGGCGTACCGGTCTCGGGGGTTACCGGTAGCGGGGTCAAACCCGCACGAGATCAGGGCGCTAGTGGCAACATTTGCCCTACACTCGAATATCTCTGTTCGCAGAATATTACGAGGTTGTTACTGGCGTTCTGACTCGGTTTTTGCCAATCATTACCTCAAACAGGTCGCTGATGCCGTCGTGGAGAGTGTGCACCGTCTTGGGCACCTAAGGGGTGTGCCCAGCACAATTCCGAACACCTCAGGCGTCAGACCTTGCACGGTGGTCAATCTGGGTCGACTCCAATGTTCCCACTGCCGTGGGTACAGGAGTTGGGGTCCCGCAAACCAGCGCACTCACACCACAGGTGAGGGTGGCTTTTTGTGTGCTTTGTCCTTATTTGTATTTTGACAATTATGTATTTAATTGTCTGTCGTGTATCCCAACCTTGTGATGCATGCTTACAAATACTGGAATTAGGTCACGCGCCTAATGCATACTTTAAGTAGGCTTGCTCTGGGATATACGGTCTGAATGAAATTAATTTCCCTCTTTTCGACTGTTTAACCTGATCTAAGATTAAGCTCACGCGGATACAGTGTTCTCATCCGCTGCGGCGATGAAATACCTATCCAGTAGAGTCACCAATTGTTTTGGCAATGACGATTGAGCCTTACGGTATGCGCTTGACAGTGCTTTGGTATTCCTATAGGGAAACGCCTAGCTAGGTGCATGCGCATCGAGTGCTTCCGCCTTGGTGTTTACTTCCGCTGGTCGGAAGGAACGCTAGCAGTCAGGATTCGGGTTGTAGGTGCTCCCCACCGCCTACTGTGGTAGTCAGCCTCGGTATAACAGTGGTAACGTATTACTTAATGTAATTTGTAGAATTTTCCTATTCGGAATATTCTATAAGTAATACGTTACCACTGGGCTGCTGCCTGCCCGTTCGTCCCCCGAGCACTTGCTCTCGCAAGAGACAAGAGTGAAGGGTGTCACATGGCAGCTAGGTGGCTACGCACGTGCTGCATGAGGTAATTGAGATCTCTGTGGTAGATTTCGCTATAGCAGCAGTTGTGGGAGACAACAGCCTCGGTATAACAGTGGTAACGTATTACTTATAGAATATTCCGAATAGGAAAATTCTACAAAATTTAATTGCACTTTGCAAATGATCTGCAGAGTATTCAACTTTTATTACCATGTGTCATTGTGTTTTGATATATCACGATGCCGTGATGACACTGTTGGACAACAGAATTTTTTTCGCCTTGTGATTTTCAATTTGCTGTTATATGAGCAGTTCAGTTTGTCAGAGCTTCAGACAGATGTGAAAAAGTTTCGGCAAGTGATGCTACCTGTAGAAACAGATTCATCAGGTATCACAAATATAGGGTGAGGGACCAACATGGCATTGAGAATGTGGAGGTCATTTGTTTATTCAGCTTATTCAACCAAGGTCCGCAAGCAATTTTTTTTACCATGTCATGCCCAAATTACCCAACACTGCACCAAAGGCTGCTTGAATAAGACGATTGACTTTTGTTTATCTGGAAACATGTGAAAACAATGTACTCAAATTTGCAGTCACGGTTTTTGTTCCCATCCAGCCACTGTAGTTTATGGCAGTCATAGAGAGAAATATTGCACTTGTTTGTGGACATTTCAGATTCAGTTACAAGACTTCAGCTCAAGATCTGGTGAGGACACACCCGAGTCTAAGATGGCGAAGACAGATGCTGTGTTGCCGGTAGACCTGGAGCTGGAGCATGTGCTGGGGTCAATGCCCAGGAAGGCAAGTACTTCAGGTCCTAGTGACAAGCTGACACGCCCAGTAGATCAGGTCCTTGTGACAAGCCCAGTATATCTGGTCCCAGGGACAAACTGACAAGCCCAGTAGAACTTGTCCCAGGGATAAGCTGACAAGCCCAGTAGATCATGTCTTTGGGACAAGCTGACAAGCCAAGTAGATCTGGTCCCAGTACATCAGGTCCCCGGGACAAGCTGACAAGCCCGCTAGATCTGGTCCCAGGGATAAGCTGACAAGCCCAGTAGATCTGGTCCAAGGGATAAGCTGACAAGCCCAGTAGATCTGGTCCCAGGGATAAGCTGACAAGCCCAGTAGATCAGGTCCCAGGGATAAGCTGACAAGCACAGTAGATCAGGTCCCAGGGATAAGCTGACAAGCCCAGTAGATCAGGTCCCAGGGATAAGCTGACAAGCCCAGTAGTTCAAGGTCCACTTGTACAGAACAATTTTTGCGTAACGACTATTGTAAATCCGATCTTAGGGCGCCGGCTACAATCGCCAATTGCACAAAGCGATTGTAGGCTAGGATCATTGTAAGCTACAATCCAAACTTACAATTGGACTGGACCAATCTTAATCTAAGATCCCTGAATAAGCTAACTTTTGAACTGGACCCTTATGGGGGTCAAGTGGGTACAGTGATTCCTGACTCTACCCAATGAACAGCTACAGGTCTGGTATTGTTGCCCCTGCATTTTCCACTCAGGCAATGAAATATTTAACTTTTTCTTTTTGAGATCTCATGCACAATGTGTCTGTTCCTGTAGGTTTTCAAGCTAGAACACATGACACCTGTGCTGACACCTATCAAACTGCCGGACAACTTGCTGGTGAGAGATGCCCTGGAACGAGTCCTGCGCCTGCCGTCTGTTGCCAGTAAGCGATACCTCACAAATAAGGTAAATCATTGTTACTGCGTGTGTTAGTGTGTGAGAGCATGCTTTTCCTGATCTGTGAACATTATATGGACAAGAACTAGTCCTGGCTAGGGTTACCTTTCCTCCTACCATGAAAGAAAACGCAAAATCTGATGACTAACTTGAATGTCCAGTGAATTTTGATAAACACAAACTGTTGCTGGAAACAACCTGCTAAGACAGATGTATCATGATACATATCGTAGTCACACAAGTATAGTGATATATATCAATACCAATCATTAAAATCAGACCTTAGTTCTCGCTATTGCTAAACAAAGATCTGAAGACATCCCATTAGGGGTCACGTCAGAATGACCTTTCATCCGACCAGTCAGAGCGTCGCTTAACAGATTATGAAAATGACAGTCGGAATGTGATTTCTAATCATGCAACCTCGGAAACTTTAACATCGGTTATTCCGAACGATAGTTACGGGTTTAATGATTGAATCCTTACAATCTAGACCATCTATCATGTCTATTAGCCATTCCAGAATGTTTTATTTTGTTCAGGTTTCAAATTTGTAATCAAGAATTTGTCAAAATATGTTTCGAAGTGTAGTCGCCAATTTGAAATAAGTGCCGTAAAGCACGAGAAAGCTGCCTTCTGATTGGTCATTCCATTGGTCGGTCAATGTTTGCACAAGGTCGGTCTGATGTGACCCGTAATGGGATGTCCTCAGATCTTTGCGTAGCAGTAGCGAGAACTAAGGTCTGATTTTAATGAGATTGGTATCAATACCTGGGGTGATGTATCTTGTCACCCCTAGTGATCAGAGGGACAAATGTGGATGAGTTTTTCATGGTACATCGTTGTGATGATTATGCCAGAAGGATGTGTTTGGTGTTGTGTTTTATTGACAGCGTATACTTACCTGTGGGTAACTGAAAGATGTACAGTTAATTTGCCTCTACAATATTGTCAAGTTGGAAGCAAATTCAAGAGTATTTATTATACCCTTGACCTAATACCAAGGAATTCGTCCGTCCTTCCGAGGACATTTTTGTGTGCGACCTGTAACTTGAAAACTACTGCATAGATTCTTTTCAAACTTGGTGAACACTTTCTATTCCAACAAGAATGGTGCAGTGCCAAGTTTGATTGCAATATTTGGATTTTCTGGAAAAATACAGCTACTTTTCATTTTTTCACTTACAATTCTCTTAAACATTTGTGCGACCTACTTCTTCCCAAGGCAAGAGAATTAACTGACTATAAAAGTTCAGAATCCAGCTTTGCCGAACTAGGCTTGAATTATGGAGTTATATTTTGGCTAGACTATCGACTTCATCCACAGTCAGATCAAAATCACGTAACAAAATCCACATCCGGTTCGGAAAACTGCTGTCCAGATTTCGGCCAATTACAGGATTTGCATAGCAAGTGTACCGTCAACTCAGCGTCAACAAATATTGTCAAAATCTTTTCATGTTTTTCGGTCTTGACTATTTTGCTTGAAGCAATTGCAAGAAATATGAAAAGTGGAATCTGATTGGTCAATAGGATGGGACATCACTTCTAATAACCAATGGCGGCGCTACGATCGACTCCAAGAATTTCCGCCTACTTCAGCAAGGGTGGAAACTGGATTTTTATAGTCAGTTAACTCCCTTGCCTTGGGAAGATGTCAAGCTGCTTCCTAGCGCGTGACATCTTCGTTACACTCTCGGTAACATCGCTGCCACCAGTGTGGGCACGGCCATTACAAGAATCTTGAAATTTGCCCTCTAACCCAAAATGTAGTAACGTTGATACTTTTGTCTTTTGGAATGCCATCATATTTCATTTTGAAAAGGTTTACGACTGACCATGTTTTCCAGATGAATTTACTTTGTTTTAATAATCAGATTGGTTCAAGATTGTAGACTAACGAAAAATCAACCAACTTCTCCCTTACATTCTTACTATATCAATAACACGATAGTTTTAATGAAACAGAAATTCAAATTGACAAACAAAGAAAGTAATTTAGCAGAGATAAGTGTAATCGGCGTCACAACAGTCGTCACTTGTTTGTAAACATAACGGTCTATGGTTACGAGTTCAACTCCAAGCATGGTTGTGGCCACCTATTCACTGTGGGGAGTTTTGACTGGTGGCAGCGAACAGGCTATAGCCTATTGCTGTGAGGAGCTTTGGTAAGATGTGTGACCTGTTTCTTAAATAACTCATGGATTCTTTTCAAATTTAGCAAACAGTTTCCATACTAATAGCAGAGGTGCAGTGCAAATTTTGATTTTAATATATGTATATGTATTTTTTTACATGTTTTGAACTTCAAATGTTTTGTTTTTGTTTTACTTCAACATTTGTGCAACTGTATGTCGATTTTGTTATGCAATTTTGATTGGACTATGCATAGACACGTTAGTCCAGCTTAAAACATAACTCCATAATTCCAGCCTTGTTCGGCAAGGGTGGAAACTGGACTTTAATGGCCATTAAAGGTATTGACAGCTGTACTGCAAGATGTCTCAGGTGTGTGAGTGTTTCAGGTGGACCGGTCGGTGACGGGACTGATCGCCCAGCAGCAGTGTGTGGGTCCACTACACACACCTCTCGCAGACGTGGCCGTCACCGCTACCTCATACTTCGATGCAGTGAGTTGTATTGATGAATTTCTTCTGAAGAATTCAGCTATGACATACTAACAATAAGGCAAACTTTGGGTACTCGCCCACCCCTGTTTTAGATTGCCTATTCATTATTCGGAAAGCAGACCCAGTGGGGATTCCCTGAAAAGACCAGCATATGTCAGTAAAAAATCCCAAATTTACCTGTTTATGCTGTTTTTGTTACCCGATATAATTAATGTTATAATGTTGTATGTTGAGGTGTCTTGTATTTCACTGATAACAGGACCAATGAAGAGGTTTTAATGATTAGTTAAACATAGTTGCATTCAATGCTATGTTAAAATACCATTGAATTTAGGCCCCCTTAGCACTAAGATTGAAGTAAAAGTGTTGTAGTGAAAAGTATATTAGTAAACTATTCTCGGAACAGCCTCAGCGCTTAGTTGTCATAAGTTTACGACAAAAACATTGGGGTAGGCTGGCACACAGTCAGACACATTGCACATTGTGACCACCTGTTGGGGGTAGTCACAGTCAGACACAGACACATCACACATTGTGACTACCTGTTGCCGGGGTGGGCTGACACATCACACATTGTGACCACCTATTGGGGTGGGCTGACACATCACACATTGTGACCACCTATTGGGGTGGGCTGACACATCACACATTGTGACCACCTATTGGGGTGGGCTGACACATCACACATTGTGACCACCTATTGGGGTAGTCAGACACACTGCACATTGTGACCACCTATTTGGGAAGTCAGACACATTGCACATTGTGACCACCTATTGGGGTAGGCTGGCACACAGTCAGACACATTGTGACCACCTATTGGGGTAGTCAGACACATTGCACATTGTTACAACCGACCCATGTTAGAGTCAGCTCCACCAGACATTGGGCACTGGGGACCTACGACACAATCATCACTGCTTCCATATTTCTTTGTACAGTGTAACAGAATGTCATGTGATCTGGTTTCAGGTCGGTGCAGCGACTGCTATCGGAGAGCAGCCAATCAAAGGTCTGATCAACCCCGAGGCTGGTGCCCGGATGGCTGTTGCGGAGTCTCTCACTAACCTCATGTTTGCAAGTGTCACAGATCTCAAGGTAGAGTATTTTGAGGGTTTTGAAACCAGACATTTGAGATTCGAAAGGCAATGCTTTATTATTTACAAAATGTTTGTCATGCATAGCTCTTCTTTTATTGATGTTTGACTCATTTGGTTGACCATAGAAACTAAGAAAGAAATACATTGTTTATTGATTGAAATATTTGGAACAAATCAAGCCAAATGTTTCCATTACATTTCGCAAAAACGAGCTTTTAGCAGTTTTTGTTACAGCTATGGTATGTAAGCATAATGGGTTTTGAGCATTCTACCAAATAAACGATTTATAAGTTCCAGTGTCATTCGGAAAATGTCCTCAGCTGTTGGTGAATGCACAATTTGATGATGTCTGCGAAATTTTGGTTCACTCCTATAATGATAATGACTTACATCTATAAAGCTCTGGATAACTTTTTGAGCAATTGAGTTTAAGGGTTTTTATTCTAATTGGGTTATTAGATTTTTCATCGGGTAACCAATATTTTTTCACTCATCTATTTGGGGTTTTCCCCAAATCAGTGAACATTTTAAGATTTAAAAAAAATGAAATGTTTTAGATGTACATAACTGTTATAAATATATAGTCGTAACTCGGAGAGTAAATTAGCTCGTAATTGTGTTTCGGAAATTACCCCCTTTGTATGCATGCTGAAAAAGCTTCTTTGGGTATTTACACATGCTGTTTGAGTTTTTCATTTTATGCATGTGTTTCTGTAAGCAAGTTATTGAAAGCCGAAGACCCTTTGAGCTTACCTATAGAATTCACAAAAAATGTACGTATGAATATATAGATAGCCTACATAAAAAATGGCTGCCGATTGATCACTCCCCATATGAACTGTAAAACATATCTATTTTTCCACGCTGGGTCTCATACCAGCCATGTCTCTAATACAAGGACTCTCGGGAAATTATAGCGGCGTAATTTAAAAAATAGAGGAAATACGGTAGTATCGAATGTTTTGGGCGATCTAGGCTGCAACCTAGATGATGACATTTAACGAAGGCATATCTTTTGCATACAAATGAAATGTTTATGAAACTGTTAGGGAAATGTTCTCTGATGACCAGAATTGGAACAATTGAAGCTATTTCATTGAAACAACTGACAATGAAAGTAAATTATAACATTAGAAAAATTGTTTGAAAAAACCTTATTCCAGACATTATGTTGTTTACAAACCTTTTTCGTGATCGATATTCGTTGCCATCTCCGTCAACAACCATCGTAAGGATTTGGCAGATGAGGATTTGAAAGTCCACTCAGAAAACACTCGTCCATTCGAAAAGCCACGAAAACAATGTCCCAAAATCATTGAAGTCAAACTTGATGCAATTCATTTAAGCAAATCATACACGACCCACTATTTCTGGGCCACGATTGTCTCATTCCATTCACACTCTGGATTGGAATGCATGAAATCTTGAAATTGACAGGTCACACCATGCAGATACTGAGATAGGCCCTACCTCGTGTCAAAATTTCCGGCTTGTCTGCAGGCTAAAAAGCGGCTGTTCAGACATACTCAGTTCCATTGGTAATCATATTGTACCAGCAGGCTCGATCAATCCCAGTAAATCTACAGGTTAATGTTGAACCACATCATAGATCGGGGTTGTCATCCTGCTACATTTCACTAGCAACGGAGAATGTAAACACAAGATTGACAGCTGTGGTCAAGTTCTGCCACATCCAAGTTCGGGGTAGAGAGGCATATATTTTGATGTTATTATTGTTTACTGGGGGTTATTGCTAACTAATAACACTTACACAACTAAAGCAGTCGGTTCAAAATTAAAATAAAGAGGTACTACAGTGGGACTACATCAAATTTCAAAACACAGTAGGTTTATCTCCCATATTCACAATAGCTATAAAACAGTTTGTGGAAAATGCAACAAAATATTTGTTTGCATTATAAAAGAAAGCACAAAATATAAACTTGCCTCTTGATTGTATTTTATCAGCACCTGTATAAACACATTATCATATTTGGCATAAGTTTGCAGCAAACATGAAAATCCCCAAAGTAAGAAATATTCTACACCAGTTTATCACTCTAATGCACCCCATATTGCTGATGGATTTGTTGGGTGAAGAAATATTTAAAGATCAATACTTGCAAAACTGGCACAGCTGTTATGGAAAGATCAAAAGGTTTGAACTACAAAGAATTTAAAGAAACTTTAACTTTTGAAAGGTATGTCTTCTCACTCAAAATGTTTTCAATTTAGAAGTAATAGCCTTTTCCCATTTCTACTGCTACAACTCCATATCCAACTTTACACAATACCTGATAATTTGCAGTTGCTGAACCATGAAGTATATATTTTGAAACAGTAGTCATAATAGGAAGACAATAAAATTTGGTCAGATTTGTCCTTAACTTCAGTCATGAAAAAATGTGCAAAATTTGTAACCTCGATCCTGCTGAAACAAAGCCACATTCACTCACTATGATGTCACTGGACATAATAACGGTCATGCAGTGCACACACAGCTACCATTGAGGTGTTTGAAGTATTCATTGCACTGGAGTCTTTTTAGTGACACAATGAAACTCTAAACTATATCAGAATATAACACAGAAATTAGGATCAAATTGAAAGATACTCTCGCATCTCAGTAACTATGATAAGGATGATCCCTTACATTCTAGGCTGTGTAGCTGTGTGTTATACTTACAACAAGTAGCAGATCAGTCTAGTACCCTTCCTCCGGATGTTGTAGCCAGTGTCCGAAATAACCGCCTGCCCGTGGCTGGTAACTTCTGATGGGCTGCATGACTGTCTGGCAGATAATTTTATGACGTATTCTGTAATGATAAGATATATATATGGATGAACAACTTCTTTATTACAATTAGGAGTGACGTTTCGGTGTTCCAACACCGTTATCATATATCTGACCTTACTTTAAATGCCTCTCAACGAAAATACTTATATATTCAGTTTTATCATAACTCCTTGTTTGCATTACTTCAACTGAATCAACATATTTTTCTATATTTATAATGTCAGAATGTCTTGTTGGATTTTAAAATTATTTCCAACACTGGTTGTAGCTATGTACGTTATGTATGTGTGTGTGTGTATGCTAACCCAGGACATCAAGTGTAGCGGCAACTGGATGTGGGCAGCCAAGCTGCCAGGAGAGGGCGCCGCACTGGTGGATGCGTGTAAGGCCATGTGTGACCTGATGGGGAAGATCGGCATCGCCGTGGATGGAGGCAAGGACTCACTCAGCATGGCAGCGCGAGTAGGGGATGAAACTGTCAAAGCTCCAGGTGAGGAGGACTTGCCCAACTTTCAATTCAGTAGAAATAAATTTTTTCGCCTGACATAACTTGTACAAAATTTTGGTTGTAATGTGCCAGTGATCTAAGGTTTATAGGCTCGTTGAGTTGCCTCCCTTAGCCATGCCAGGATGTTCTAATAATGGGTTTGAATCCGATTTGTCCCAATTATGCTCCTCGGTTTGTACCAGCATATGAGGGCCCACTCGGTCTTTCATCCAAACTGAGCTGACATCCATCTTGTGTTGAGTTGGTCAGGAACCTTTTTTGCACTTTGAAAAAACATTTTTTACTTTTATGGTTATGAATCTTGGAGGACAATGTTTTGCATAAAAGTGGACTTAAGTCACACAACTAATGCTTCAACTTTTTCAACAGGAACATTGGTGATATCATCCTATGCTGCCTGTCCAGATGTCACAAGAACAGTGACCCCTGACCTCAAGTGTCTTGGGGGCGAAGGTCAGGTCACATTGCTTATTTGACACTATTCATGTGGCCTTTCTCAGATTTAACCAAAAAAAGTTAGAATTATTGATGTTGTTGATTCAAGTACATTTTGTCTTCAGGCACTTTCTGATTACTAGTCAGCGGAGCCTATTGACGCTCATGTGTGCTCCATGGCCTGCTCCCTAGTGTTTATTCTAGAATGTGGCATTGCCGTGTCAAGCAGTGGTTCCATTCCCCACATGGGTTCTATGGGTGATGCCCATTTTGGGGCACATGGTTACCTATATAAAAAAATCTTATAAATATCTCCAGTTGCATTATTTTTCCACATTTTGTCAACATGTTTCACTTTCTGATACGAAAGTGAGCAGTGTGCAGTTACGAAGCAAGCTCCATCAAGCATGACACCTGCTTTACATTATAACACCGGGAGTGAAGTGTTAGGAGCTTTGTTGCACTGCAGGACGTAAAACTGGTCATTTGATTTTCTCTCGTCATGCAATAACAATCATTATTGACTTATCTGCATGTTTGAAAATCAACAACATAATGGTTGTGCTTAAAACCACAATTGAGTTCCAAAGTATGGTAATGGCTGACTCTCCCAATCATGAAGTTTGGGGTCAGCAAAGCAAATTTCATGTGAAAGAGCCAGCCGATGACATCTCTGTTGTCATGAAACAACATCCTGGACTGACCTGCATAAAGCACAATAAATATCACATGTAAAAACTTCCGAACAAGTCCCCTGGCATGCACCCTGTAAGTCGCTGGTGGCTACCCTCTTGACAAACACTGCCCAGTCCACGTCCAGACTGTGTGAAACTGGAACTGTCAGTCATATATTGCAGTCTGATTTATAGATATCACAACCTATTTTAACCATACCAAATATCGTGTACAGGTACGCTGTTGTATGTGAACCTGAGCAGCAGTGTGACCCTAGGTGGGTCAGCCCTGGCGCAGTGCTACAACCAGATCGGGGACGACGTGTCCGATGTCCTGCAGCCCGAGCTCCTGGTCTCGGCCTTCAGAGTGATGCAGACTCTGCTTGAAGGTAGGTAGTGATGAAACTATACAGGTATTTGGCCATCAGCTGTCAATGCATAGGCACAGTGTAGGCACGATGTAGGCACTATGTTTTAGCAGGAGGGAAATCAGCAAGTGCTCTGACTAATGGTTGCACAGATGACATCACACAAACAGCAATATTTCTCATACAACATGTTCCCAGCACATGGCTTCAGTATCAGCAGGGATTTAACTGAACTGCCTCAGAGACTGACAGTAAGTCTACAGTAAACATCAGTAAATATAAATAAGTAAATAACTTGGAATTAATATTGGCCCTTTTCATTGTAAACATGTTGATATATGATGGCCAATTACTTTCAAAACCCAATTACTTTTGATTAACTTGCGTACAGGGATGCATGCATAAATTGAAATACTCGAATGTACAAAAACAGCTTGCGTAAACACCCAATGAAGCTTTTCAGCATGCATACAAAGGATCTAATTTCCAAAACACAATAACGAGCTAATTTGCTTTCCGAGTCAAGCCAGTTTTATACATCTTTATACATTATTTCATTTTTTTTAAATAATAAAATGTTCACTAATTTTGGGAAAAACGCAATAGAGTGATGAGTGAAAAAATATCCGTTACCCAAATAAAAAAGAAACCCAAGAGTAAAATCTCAATTGCTTAAAAAGTTATCTGGAGCTCTGATAATATATATTCAATCACACAGATGACCTCATAGACTGAACTCATGTATTTAACAAATCTGTGCAAGGATGATATTAGTTACAATAAAAATATATACACATGTATACATAATCATAGGACGTGCATATTTCATATACATTCCTATACAAAAGTATAGCCATACACTAGAGCACAAACTGAGTTCACCAAGTGCTTCGAGCTGTTGATTCTGATGGTGGTGCTATCTTAGTGCTACGCGACCTTTCGGCTACCTTTCGGCAGCGTTCGATACTGTAGATCACGGTATTCTGCTCAGAACACTAAAACACTGGTTTAATGTGACTGGGGACGCCCTTTCATGGGTGACATCATACCTCTCATCTCGCTTTCAATCAGTACAGATTAAGGATAAACTGTCCGATAAAGTGAAGCTTGCATATGGCGTCCCCCAAGGTTCGGTCTTAGGACCAGTGCTATTCACCATCTATACATCTCCACTTGGTGATATTGCCTGACATCATGGAATACTTTTTCATCTGTATGCAGATGACACACAACTCTATCTGTCCTTTAAACCGAATCAACTTCACTCAGTGCAAAAATCCCTTCAAAGGTTGCAGACCTGTATAGATGACGTGAAGAACTGGATGCTGATAAATTTTCTCAAATTAAACTGTGATAAAACTGAAGTTCTCTTTATGTGCAACAACGCCATCAGAAACCGAGTGAGCTATCCTTGTCTCGACATCGGAGGCAATATGATCATCCCAGGCAAAGAAGTTCGTAACCTGGGTGTGATTTTCAACTCATCACTATCTATGGCGTCTCATGTTGATAACATCTGCAAGCGAGCATATCTGAACATCAGGAATATTGGACAGATTCGCCAGTGTATAAATCCAAAAACAGCTGCTTCTCTAGTTCACGCATGTGTTCTATCACATCTAGATTTCTGTAATGGACTACTCATCGGCCTTCCTCATAACCTTTTGACTAAACTTCAATGAGTTCAAAACTGTGCTGCCAGGCTTGTTACTAAATCCAAAAAGTTTGACCGTATCACACTGATTCTACAGAACCTCCACTGGCTCAAAATCAATGAGAGAATCCAGTATAAAGTGATGCTGATTGTGTTCAATGCGAGACACAATCAAAAACCAACTTATATCAGCAAGCTTCTTGAAGAGTACGTGCCTGGGAGATCTCTCAGATCAAGCTGCCAGTCACTACTCTCTGTGCCTAGTGTTAGAACGGCGACTTTTGTAGGTCGGAGTTTCGCCAAAGTTGCCCCTGAGCTATGGAATAGGCTGCCATTGGATATTAGGAACATTGACAGTCCTACTTTGTTCCGATCAAGACTCAAAACCTATCTTTTCACCAAATCATTCTTAGAGTATTGAGGCTTTGTGTTTTCCTAGCTGTGTAATGTCTCTTTTTTTGTGTAGACTCAAATGAAGCGCTCTTGAGCAGTTCTTCAAAATGGATACCAGCGCTTTATAAATCTGTAGTTATATTATTATTGCTGATATGATCTACAAACATGAAGGGAAACTGGGTAGCATAGAAATGTTTGTTGTTGTAATACTCATGATATATACTGAACTGCAAAAGAAACGTCACCCCAAGTAACATGGCATGAAAAGTTGTCATTTAAATATCTGGATAATTTTATCAAATTTTCAAAAATTTAACATTACCATGAATTTTGATGATAAAAAAACAAAGCAGATGACAATAAAACCGATCGCCCAAACGCATCACGGCAACGGCCATGGTAACCCAATGCACGTGAGTACCATGCGAATTGAAATGCACATGCGTTTCCCCATTTCTAGCCCTTTATAATTCCACCCAGATCGGATAACATTCATTCGTTGTTGAATTGCTACCACATGCCAAGATTGACAAGAAATCAGCGACACCAAGCCCTTGGACGATTGCAAGCTGGACAAATCGCCCGGCAAGTCGCCTTGCATTTCAAGTCCACGTAAGGACTCCAGCAACGGTACCAGACCACCAATACTACAGATGACCGACCACGTAGTTGGTCACCACCGACGTCAGTATTGTCAGATTGTGCGACAGCATCTTCAAGATCGCTTTGTTACTGCTGCTGAAACTGCTCGACAGACCATGGGGACACACCAGCGACACATTAATGCGGACACCGTGCGTCGAAGATTGATGAGCAGACACCTCCACTGTCACAGGCCACACCAAGGACTCTTTCTGACACCATGTCATCGCCGGGACTGTCTTCAGTGGGCAAGGCAGCACCAGCATTGGCGCCACCAGCAGTGGAGAGTCCTTTCTCAGACGAGAGCCGTTACTGTATCTCAACAGCAGATGGCAGAGAGAGAGTCTGGTGACTACTTGGGGAATGTTATTCGGACGCTTGTGTTGTTGAGAGAGACACGTGGGGTGGTCCGAGCACCATGGTGTGGGGTGGAATTGGTCATGCACAGAGGGTCGGCCCTGTGGTCTTCCAGAACATCAGTCCAGAGAGATTCAATGGTGTCACAGCAGCTCGGTACATTGATCAAGTCTTGAGACCACACGCCAAACCTCATTTGGCACGTCGCCGCAACCACGAGTTTCAGCATGATAACGCCAGTGCCCACACTGCGAGAGCAACAAGAGACTTCCTCCAGCAGAATGGCATCAGAACCATGCAGTGGTCTGCCCTCAGTCCCGATTCAAATACCACTGAGCACCTGTGGGACGAGATTCAAAGACGGCTGAATGACGTCCGACCAAGGCCGACAACTGCAGCTGAACTGCGTGAGGCATTCCCCAGAGTGTGGGCTCAAGTGCCTATGGCCTTCATCAACCGCCTCATCCATTCCATGTATCGACATTGCACGGCAGACATCAGTGCAATGGCGGACACACAAGATACTGACTTGTGATGCCATTTTCTCAGAGACTAGTGTTGTGTTTCACTTTAAGAATATTAATATGTCTCAAAGTATGCTTACAGTGTTTGGACAAATAAGGTTTCTCATATGTCTATCTATGGTGACGTTTCTTTTGCGGTTCAGTATACCTATGAGGGCTTCACATTATTCACCTGAGTGGGGTAGCCTTGTGGTTAAAACGTTTGCTTGTCATGCCGAAGGCCCGGATTCGGTTCCCAACTTTGGTACAATGTGTGAAGCTGATTTCTTGTGTCCCCTGGAATATTTTAAAAAGTGACTCACTCACATTATACATGGACAACATAGATAGCTATGAACAGACACATACATGTTAAGTATGTACTCACCCTTTCTCAAATGAAAGATGAAAAGGTGAAGAATTTCTATACAAATGCCATGAAAGGAAAAAAAGTAACTGTACTTCATATACTTTCAATAAGAATAAATTTATTCTAAAATTAAAAAATGCATCTTTCTATACATACTGGTATACCTCCTCGACTTCGTAATTCACAAGTTGAATGTTTTGTGTGTTGGGAGCAACCAGGTGAAGGATCACAACATCCGGCTCCGACGATAAGCCCAGTTTCGCTTCCATGTCACTGTCAGGCACACCTAAATGTGTGTAGACCGCATCTGATGTTCAGGAGACCAGTCTAGGACAGTATACCGTTCACAGATGAGTCCTGGTTTCATCTGGACCGCTCTGATGGTTGGCAAGGGTCTACAGGCGTCCAGGAGAACGTTTTAACAATGCTTGCGTTACTTAGCGTCATCAGTTTGTGGGTGTAAGTGTAATGGTATGTGGTGGCATCACAACTCATGGGAGAACACACCTCATTATTGTTAATGGCACATTTTGCACTTTTGGAGGAAGCATAACATTGCTGTACTGCTATGACTGACTGTTTCTGCTCCATTGAACATGTCTGGGATGAGATGGAACAAAGCCTACAACAGGACCAGAACCATCCACTAACGCCAGCTCAGTTGGGCCAATCTTTGGTTGGCATCTGGAACAGCATCCCCCAGGCTGTTTCCAGTCATCTGGTGTTTTCAGTGTGCCACCGCTGCCCCGCCTGTATCAATGCAAATGGTGGTCCCATTGACATTGTTCACTGAGTTGTTACACCACCCCCTTTTAGGGCGTGTCTCTGTCTCCTGTTACCAGGTATTTGTTTTGTTTGCTCTTGCAAAAGACCAAAAGTTGTGTTGTTATGTTCAATAACCAAATATGCACATAATTATTCTTGTCCCCAAGCAATAAAAACTTAAATACTTAAATGTTTGCTCAAATACCATCTGTTGTGTGTATTGTCATCTGAACACAACGGGTCATTATCAAAATTGGTCCTTTTATGGTCAGTTGAGTATTTAAGATTTAATCACCTTTTACATAATTTAATCATATTGAAAATTCTTCAAATAATTCCACTTTGAGCTTGCATTTTTTCCCTGTTAAATGAAATATTTTGACCAATTTTATATTTCATGTGGCTGCTTTATTATCTTTTCATTGTACCTGATGAATAACCTAGTGTTACAGTCTACTTAATCTTGAACTCAGCATTTCAGTATACATTGAGAAACGTCTGAGTTTGACTGCATGATTGTTCACAAATATCCACGCTTCGACCCATCCTAATGAAGAAATGCACAGCCAAACTATGGTAGTATCAACTCGATCTGTGTCTAGGCTGACACTGACAGTCCACAGCAATCTATGAATTTACCTTAGTGTCTGTTAGACACATCTTTAATAACCTTTCAATGATCAGCCAGTTTATCAATGATGTAACCACCACAGGTTCAATAACAACTTCTGAAATCTCTCCCATCACATTTAACATGTTGGCCATTTTGACATCTTGAACTTGATGTAAATGCATTACGACGCGCTGTCATTGTGACTGACTTACTGAGGTAGTTCTTTACAGACCTTTCTCATCTAATGAGGATATTATTTGAGTACATTAGTTCTAAAGAAACTACAAAAGCATGTTGAGCATGCATAAGCTCATGTCACCTCTCATTTTGAGGAACTATTTTATTCCGCGATACAGCTGGTTGTTGTATGGTTGTCAGTGTAAACATGAAGTCACACTTCATATAATTGTGTCTAGATCAAGGTCTATTATTAGAATTGACTTTACTAGAATTACCTGAGTGAGGGCCAAACTGTATGAATGTCGGAGCTTGCGACGACGTTCATACAGTGTTTGGTCCTCACTCTATGAAGGTTCATACTCCAATGAACTCACACAGTTTAGTCAGTTCTTAAATGAAGCACGGTTACTTTTTCCCCTGTTTGTATATATATGCCTTTAACTATTTACAAACTTACTGACCTGGTTAAAACATTGAATGACCTCAAATATATGTCTATTTGAAGTGACTATTTAGATAAATATTAAAACATTGTGATAATATACCTGAATACACAAATAAATACAAATACATAATAACAATGTGTATACTATATGTTACTAACCTGGAAGGATGATCTCTGAGATTATAACACAAACACCAAGCAGTTGAGCTGTGGTTGGTGACTAGTGTGCTGGTGAAATGCTGAGTGTAAGGTTGGTATTTTGAACAAGGCCAATCAGGCGTAAGCTGACTTAAACAAAGAACCCAACCACTGAGTGACCCAAGCTGTCTTCCATACTCTGCAGCTGACAGTTGCATTAAAGAAAACTCCACACAGAGGTTACATTGATATTCTGCTGAAAGCAGTGCTGTAGAGTACAGCAGGTGTACAGGTTTGTTATACCCCCGACAAAATGTCGGGGGTATATAATTATACCAAGATTCCGTCTGACCGTCTGTTTGACCGTCCGTCTGTCCGAAAACTTTGTCTGCGCGATTTCTCTTAAACTATTCAGGGGATTCATCTCAAACTTAGTACATATAATCTGTGTCATATGAAGGGGTGCAGTCAAAAGAAAAAAATTGTTTTTACTTATTTTCCATTTTTTTATGAATTTTTCAAACCCTAACGCCGTCTGAAAACTTTGTCCGCACGATTTCTCTTAAACTATTCAGTGGATTCATCTCAAACTTAGTACATATAATCTGTGTCATATGGAGAGGTGCAGTCAAAAGAAAAAAATTGTTTTTATTAATTTTCCATTTTTTTATGAATTTTTCAAACCCTAACCAGGGTTTCCCCTGACGCATAATTCTTGCGTATATGACTCTCAATTAAGGAAAAATACGTCCAGAAGGAAATGACTGCGTCATGACTGACGCAATTTCAAAATATTGATGTTGTTGTTTGCCAGCTTTGGAATGAAAATATTACAACTACTCACCTGAACTTAATTTATAAACATTTTCCGGAGACAATATATGCAAACGTCTTAAAATTTACGTCTAGTTTTTAATTAATCGTCGTTTTTAGAAGTAATATAACTTCGCATAACACCACTGCCACGGGCTAATTTGCATAGCCTGTCACATGACCAGACTTTTCTCTCGTTTTAAAACATACGCTAAAATCAGAACAGCCGGGGGCTTTACATATTGTTTTGCATAATTATATAGATATGCTACTAAAACTGTGCGACGGTGAGGTACACGACAAAATATATTTATTCATCAAAGTGAACGTAACTCTCACACTCCGTGTGGCTTCGATGACAGCACGTGATGAAAAACAAAGGAAAACTACGCAAATGGACAAGGTTTTTCACGTTTCAGCATATTTTCTCACTAAAAGTTAACCATGACATATGTTTATCTAGATGTGTAGACTCGTAAAAAATGAAACAAAAGAAAATATTATTATTGTTGTGGTGAATAATGTGATTTGGCACGGTCACAGTATGTGGTTAAGCGGAACCTATGGAACGGGGTAAACGGAAGTTGTAAGTATCTGAGGGACACATGTTTTTGCCCAAATTTAGGTAAACATTATTGAATGAAATTTTAAATAAAGTTAATAAAATAGATGACAAACATAAGGTCAGATATACAGAGAACACATTTTTATTACCAGATAGTGTAACAACTTGGGTAATTCAATTCGGATTTGTTATGCTATTTCCGATGACAGATCATGGCAGCCTGAAATGAGACTGAAGAAAAGTCTGTGCGTATTATACACGAGAGAATTTTTTCAGGATTTAATTGCCCATAATTAGGGGTGTGTATTATACACGAGTGTGTATTATGCACAAATAAATATGGTATATACGAAATGGGCTTGTTTGTTGTTGCTAATAAACTGTATTCAACCAGGAAATATTACGTGTGTTCACAATTCTTCAGTTCAACTTCATTGTTGATAGATAATACAAGATAACTAGATAAAAGATGTAAATGAGTTAGTGGTATTAAATTATAATCTGACATGAAATGTATTTTAATATCCATCAATGATTAAAAATTGTCTCACAGTTGAGACTGATGTTATTTCTTCATCCTGTATTAGCATTGATTAGTGCCACTGTAAATTGTTTCATGAGCTGTGAAGTAATTAAAGATTGTGAAAAAATAAAACCAACAAACTTTGTTTTTCATTCATATATCCTTTATTTCTCTGTAGTACAATCAGCTGAGAACATTAATTAGCACTTGTTAACTTAAACTAAAGACATATAATATTTAAAAGATACTTAACTTTAAGTGTAACATTAACAGTGAACACTTTAAATTTCATTAATCATACAATAAAACATTTGACTCTCAAAAAATATTTTTGACTCCCAGAAATTCATAGGCTGAGTCAAGGTGACTCTCAGATATTGGAGTCTTGGGGGAACCCTGCCTAACCCTATCCTAGCTATTTAATTTGTAACTACTGACACACTAGGCGGGCCGGGGGTATTAGTGAGCCACGCTCACTTTTGCACTTGTTACTTTTAGAGCAACATTAAACAGTAAAAGGTCAGGACATCATTTCAATACAATATATATACAGATGTGTAAAATACGGAAAGTACAAAGATGTACATCTATTTATCTGGAGGTTGTGAATTATCTCCCTTGTACCATTCCTGTAGATGAGCTGTGGATTATTAAACTTTATTAGTGTGCATGAAATGGTTTTGTGGCCTGTCAGTAAAATAGCTATCTGTATCCTATTGTTGACTGCCTGTTGCAGAGCGGCTTGTGACAGCAGGGCACGATGTGAGTGATGGAGGGCTGATCACCTGTCTGTTGGAGATGGCGTTTGCTGGCAACTGTGGCATTGACGTCAGTCTACACACTCTAGAGGATGAAGGTGAAGCTCACAGACTTTGTTTTGGAAAACAACACGAAAAATTAGTTATCTGCTTAAAACGACAGCCCCAGGGTGTCGTAGTTCAAAAGATTGATTAAGTGGATGTAGGCCATTATTAAGGATTACCTGACTGACAGGCAGATTCGTTAACAAGGTGATTTGTTTTATTGTTGTCTTATAAAAAGAAAAGCATGCTTCAGATTTTCAAAAGAAAATAACATTTCAACATTTTTAGTATGAAAACCACACAACTTGCTAGGTCAAATTTGAATTATACAATCTGCATATTTTGAAATCTTTAGAAAGCCTGTTGGGTCCATTGGCTACAGAATTGAACATCAGTGCACCTCACAATGAAAAAGTGTCGAGTTTCTTGCTGTAAGACTAAACAAAATAATAGTCTTGGTTCCCAGGCACCGACCGCATCATCATAAAGTCTGCCGCACATTTCGTTTTTTATTTCTATTTTCAAAACAAATCCCTAGGACTTAACAACAATGCTATCCAAATAAGCACACAGTTACTTCCCTTTACATGTGCACTGCTTCACTACACATCTCATGTTATAGTCATGTGGCAATAGTATGCTTGTTTATGTAGGGAGGCACCATCCCAGGTTGATGGTACACAACTGTTTATCTGGTGAAATACTAGTTGAACAAGCGGAAAGAAACATCGTGTGATGTGGAAGTCGGGTATGGTAATGTTCTGTCACGTGGAAGTCGGGTATGGCAATGTTCTGTGATGTGGAAGTCGGGTATTGCAATGTTCTGTCACGTGGAAGTCGGGTATGGTAATGTTCTGTCACGTGGAAGTCGAGTATGGTAATGTTCCGTCACGTGGAAGTCAGGTATGGTAATGTTCCGTCACGTGGAAGTCGGGTATGGCAATGTTCTGTCACGTGGAGGTCAGGTATGGTAATGTTCTGTCACGTGGAAGTCTGGTATGGTAATGTTCCGTCACGTGGAAGTCGGGTATGGTAATGTTCTGTCACGTGGAAGTCGAGTATGGTAATGTTCCGTCACGTGGAAGTCAGGTATGGTAATGTTCCGTCACGTGGAAGTCGGGTATGGCAATGTTCTGTCACGTGGAGGTCAGGTATGGTAATGTTCTGTCACGTGGAAGTCGGATATGGTAATGTTCCGTCACGTGGAAGTCGGGTATGGTAATGTTCCGTCACGTGGAAGTCAGGTATGGTAATGTTCCGTCACGTGGAAGTCGGGTATGGTAATGTTCCGTCACGTGGAAGTCTGGTATGGTAATGTTCCGTCACGTGGAAGTCGGGTATGGTAATGTTCCGGTAATGTTCCGTCAGGTGGAAGTCGGGTATGGTAATGTTCTGTCACGTGGAGGTCAGGTATGGTAATGTTCCGTCACGTGGAAGTCGGGTATGGTAATGTTCCGTCACGTGGAAGTCTGGTATGGTAATGTTCTGTCACGTGGAAGTCGGGTATGGTAATGTTCCGTCACGTGGAAGTCAGGTATGGTAATGTTCTGTCACGTGGAGGTCAGGTATGGTAATGTTCCGTCACGTGGAAGTCGGGTATGGTAATGTTCCGTCACGTGGAAGTCGGGTATGGTAATGTTCCGGTAATGTTCCGTCAGGTGGAAGTCGGGTATGGTAATGTTCTGTCACGTGGAAGTCTGGTATGGTAATGTTCTGTCACGTGGAGGTCAGGTATGGTAATGTTCTGTCACGTGGAAGTCGGGTATGGTAATGTTCCGTCACGTGGAAGTCGGGTATGGTAATGTTCTGTCACGTGGAAGTCTGGTATGGTAATGTTCTGTCACGTGGAAGTCGGATATGGTAATGTTCCGTCACGTGGAAGTCGGGTATGGTAATGTTCTGTCACGTGGAAGTCTGGTATGGTAATGTTCCGTCACGTGGAAGTCGGGTATGGTAATGTTCCGTCACGTGGAAGTCTGGTATGGTAATGTTTCGTCACGTGGAAGTCGAGTATGGTAATGTTCCGTCACGTGGAAGTCGAGTATGGTAATGTTTCGTCACGTGGAAGTCGAGTATGGTAATGTTTCGTCACGTGGAAGTCGGGTATGGTAATGTTCCGTCACGTGGAAGTCAGGTATGGTAATGTTCCGTCACGTGGAAGTCGGGTATGGTAATGTTCCGTCACGTGGAAGTCTGGTATGGTAATGTTCCGTCACGTGGAAGTCGGGTATGGTAATGTTCCGGTAATGTTCCGTCAGGTGGAAGTCGGGTATGGTAATGTTCTGTCACGTGGAGGTCAGGTATGGTAATGTTCCGTCACGTGGAAGTCGGGTATGGTAATGTTCCGTCACGTGGAAGTCGGGTATGGTAATGTTCCGGTAATGTTCCGTCAGGTGGAAGTCGGGTATGGTAATGTTCTGTCACGTGGAAGTCTGGTATGGTAATGTTCTGTCACGTGGAGGTCAGGTATGGTAATGTTCTGTCACGTGGAAGTCGGGTATGGTAATGTTCCGGTAATGTTCCGTCAGGTGGAAGTCGGGTATGGTAATGTTCTGTCACGTGGAAGTCGGGTATGGTAATGTTCTGTCACGTGGAAGTCGGGTATGGTAATGTTCTGTCACGTGGAGGTCAGGTATGGTAATGTTCCGTCACGTGGAAGTCGGGTATGGTAATGTTCTGTCACGTGGAAGTCGGGTATGGTAATGTTCCGTCACGTGGAAGTCGGGTATGGTAATGTTCCGTCAGGTGGAAGTCGGGTATGGTAATGTTCTGTCACGTGGAAGTCGGGTATGGTAATGTTCCGTCACGTGGAAGTCGGGTATGGTATTGCTCCGTCACGTGGAAGTCGAGTATGGTAATGTTCTGTCACGCGGAAGTCGGGTATGGTATTGCTCTGTCACGTGGAATTCGGATATGGTAATGTTCTGTCACGTGGAAGTCGGGTATGGTAATGTTCCGTCACGTGGAAGTCTGGTATGGTAATGTTCCGTCACGTGGAAGTCGGGTATGGTAATGTTTCATCACGTGGAAGTCGGGTATGGTAATGTTCTGTCGCGTTGGAAGTCTGGTATGGTAATGTTCTGTCACGTGGAAGTCGAGTATGGTAATGTTCTGTCACGTGGAAGTCGGGTATGGTAATGTTCCGTCACGTGGAAGTCTGGTATGGTAATGTTCCGGTAATGTTCCGTCATGTGGAAGTAGGGTATGGCAATGTTCTGTCATGTGGAAGTAGGGTATGGCAATATTCTGTCACATGGAATTGGAGTATGGTAATGTTCCGTCACGTGGAAGTCGGGTATGGTAAGATTCTGTCACGTGGAAGTCGAGTATGGTAATGTTCTGTCGCATTGGAAGTCGGGTATGGTAATGTTCCGTCATGTGGAAGTCGGGTATGGTAATGTTCCGTCACGTGGAAGTCGGGTATGGTAATGTTCTGTCATGTGGAAGTCGAGTATGGTAATGTTCTGTCATGTGGAAGTCGAGTATGGTAATGTTCTGTCGCGTTGGAAGTCGGGTATGGTAATGTTCTGTCGCGTTGGAAGTCGGGTATGGTAATGTTCCGTCACGTGGTAGTTGAGTATGGTAATCTTCTGTTCCAGATGAGATCGTGGACTTCCTGTTCTGTGAGGACCTCGGGGTGATCCTGGAGGTCCGGACTGGGGACGAGGAGGAGGTCATCGAGATGTTTGACGATGAGAATGTACCCTGCGTCCCTATTGGCCGATCCAAGGCTTTATCTGACAGGGTGAGACTGTTGTCTGATTGGGTGAGACAGTTGTCAGACATGGTGAGACTGTTGTCTGATAGAATGAGACTGTTGTTGAACCAAGTGAGACTGTTGTCTGATAGGGTGAGACTGTTGTCTGACAGGGTGACACTGTTGTCAGACTGGGTGAGACTGTTGTCTGATAGGGTGAGACTGTTGTCGAACCGAGTGAGACTGTTGTCAGACCGGGTGAGACTGTTGTCTGATAGGGTGAGACTGTTGTCTGACAGGGTGACACTGTTGTCAGACCAGGTGAGACTGTTGTCTGATAGGGTGAGACTGTTTTTGAGCCGAGTGAGACTGTTGTCTGATAGGGTGAGACTGTTATCAGACCGGATGACACTGTTGTCTGATAGGGTGACACTGTTGTCGAACCGAGACAGACTGTTGTCTGACAGGGTGACACTGTTGTCAGACTGGGTGAGACTGTTGTCTGATAGGGTGAGACTGTTTCGAACCGAGACAGACTGTTGTCTGATAGGGTGACACTGTTGTCAGACCGGGTGAGACTGTTGTCTGACCGGGTGACACTGTTGTCAGACTGGGTGAGACTGTTGTCTGACAGGGTGACACTGTTGTCAGACCAGGTTAGACTGTTGTCTGATAGGGTGACACTGTTGTCGAACCGAGAGAGACTGTTGTCTGATAGGGTGACACTGTTGTCAGACCGGGTGAGTCTGTTGTCTGACAGGGTGACACTGTTGTCAGACCGGGTGAGGCTGTTGTCTGATAGGGTGACACTGTTGTCGAACCGAGACAGACTGTTGTCTGACAGGGTGACACTGTTGTCAGACCAGGTGAGACTGTTGTCTGATAGGGTGAGACTGTTTCGAACCGAGACAGACTGTTGTCTGATAGGGTGACACTGTTGTCAGACCGGGTGAGTCTGTTGTCTGACAGGGTGACACTGTTGTCAGACCGGGTGAGGCTGTTGTCTGATAGGGTGACACTGTTGTCAGACCGGGTGAGACTGTTGTCTGATAGGTTGACACTGTTGTCAGACCAGGTGAGACTGTTGTCTGATAGGGTGAGACTGTTGTCGAAGCGAGACAGACTGTTGTCTGATAGGGTGACACTGTTGTCGAACCAAGACAGACTGTTGTCTGATAGAGTGATTCTGTTTCCTGATAGGATGAGACTGTTGTCTGACCGGGTGACGCTGTTGTGCCTCATAAGGAAACAAACGAACCATACCAATACCAAGCTGTTGCACTCAACAGGTTGTGATCAGCGTCAATGACGAGGAGGTGTTGATTGAGTCGACGATGGTGCTGCGAGACATCTGGGAGGAGACAAGTTTCCAGCTGGAGCGTCTCCAGGCCAACCCCCACATGGTGCAGCAGGAGCAGGAGGGACTCAAGTCTCGCAGATTCCCCCCCTACCAACTCCCCTTCTGTCCCGACGATGACATCAAGATCAACAAGGAATTGGGTAGGTCACTCACTGATGATGCCATGAACAAAGAATGAGGAACAGAGCATGACACAGTGGAGATTCTGGGTTGCAATAGGTCGTGAAAAGAAGCATAATGAATCAGATCAGAAGTGTCAAGCTCAGTGTTTTGGTTGATTGTATGTCATTGTATTCCGATGGTGTGGATCATTAATCACTGAATTGTCTGATCCCGTCAGGTCTTGATCTGGATTTGTAAATTGTAAAAAAAATTGTTTTGATACTTAGCCTTGTCATAAAAATTGTTGCCCTATTTGTGACAGTGTTCCTCCAATGCTCAGATCAGCTGCCGATGGTGGCGGTGTTGAGGGAGGAAGGCAGCAACGGTGACCGCGAGATGTGTGCGGCATTCACGTCTGCAGGGTTCGAGGTGTGGGACATCAACATGCAGGATCTGCAAGATGGCAAGGTTGACTTGGACACATTCCGAGGACTTGCATTTGTCGGGGGCTTCAGCTATGCCGATGTTTTGGGTTCAGCTAAAGGTACCATTGATGTAGCTCAAGTTTATGATGCATTCTACCATGAATTTGGAATTTACTCCATTCTGAATGGTCAATCAACGGCCTTTAAATCACAATAAACCTCCTCTGAGTGAAACAGCTGGTTTAACGACAGCATCACTGCAGATGCTGGTATTCACAGAATAGTACTTTTTTCAGTCATTGTCGGTAGGCATATATAAAAAATTATATCTACAATTACAGGTTACAAAATGCACAGGTGCGGTTACTACAATATTCAAGGGATGTGTGGCAATGCATTTCGTGCAGAAAACACGATAGAAATCTACAAAGGGAATGTATTTACGTTTTGGAGACATCAGAGAGCTTGGAATTTTGGCGCTTTTCTATATACGACTGTCACGTCATAGCTTTTGCGTCACAATGAACGATATGACGTCATAATGGTGACGTGCGATGTCGAGCGAAAGCCTTGCAAAGCTTGCTTTGTTTTCTTTACGGATGCCCACCTCATGTTAGCTTACCAAGTTGCCGTGCTTATATGTTTTCAATGCCTGTCATATGTTCGAGTGAAGTATTACGGTGTAAACCAACTGCTTGAGTATACACAGCGCCATATTTTGTTCAGTGATTCTGTAATTCAGATCGATAACCCACTCAAAACACTGGACTCAACCCATGCCGCTTCACTCAGTATATTTGCTAATACCAAAGAGTTCGCGTTTTATTTAGTCATGGTAGAATGAAGATAAACATACTGTGTTTTCCCTGTAGAGCTACGTTACCTGTAGATTTAACCGCGCAAAATTTAACATTTGAAACCTCACGCTGCGTGTTCGGTTCCCAATTCAATTTAGCGCGGTTAAATCTACAGGTAACGTAGCTCTACATTGAAAACACAGTATGTTTATCTCCTAAATGTGTGGTCCTTTCACATGTTATGTGTTCACTTGACAAAAGGGTCCCTTTAAAACACCAGTATGTTCATAACACATTATTTTTAAGTTTGTTTTCCATTTTAGTTGGGCTTTAATAGTTCTACTCATGCTACCAGATGAGCATGAGAGGGATAGACTTTGATTTCTTTCTTTCTTTCTTTTGTTATTTCAAGAATAAATTCAAGATGAGGATAATGAACGTTATAAACAGTGTGTTGATCTAACAAGTACAAGAAATGTTAACCTTTGAGGGTAAGATCTTGTCATTGATAGAACAAAACCTGTGCACATTGGTGTAACCACACAATTTCCCTCACAGAGAACAATGCTCTGAAGCATTGGACTTATGTTTTTACATCATAACTTTTCCAGAGTGATATGGTTTGTCAATATAACTACAGTAAACTACATTTATCACAAACAAGCTTACAATGAACTAACGGATTTGACAAACTGTTTTTTCAGTCCCGGCCATTTGCTGTATACTTTATCATATACAATTAATGGATGCAACAAACAGGCTGATAGCAAAATAACGGATATAGAGAACTCACTTTGTGATCCCGTGTGTACTCTTAATCTCAATGGATCCAGGTTCGCCCCGATTATGTTTCTAGATTTGTCAGCACCATACCCGTGCTCGTGGGTTTCACTGAAGTGGTAAACATCTGAGACCTGCATCACTTTGGGCTTTCCTCCCACATTAAGTTGACACGCCGTGATATAACTGGAATACTTTAAAAGTGGCGTTAAACTCAACTCACTCACTCACTTAATCTCAATGTATATAACAAACTGTTAATCTCTGAGCTGCTTGTGTCACAATCACCCTGTCAAAACATTCAGGCCACAAAGTGGCTCCGTGGTACATGAAAACATGGTGGGTTTACAGTAATTATTTTGAAACATGTGACGTCTCTCTTCCAGGCTGGGCAGCAGCTGCTCTCTTCAATCCCACAATCAAGGAGCAGTTTGAGCGATTCCGCCAGCGTCCAGACACCTTCAGCCTGGGTGTGTGTAATGGCTGCCAGCTGATGGCGCTCCTTGGATGGGTAGCACCAGATCCGTCAGGTTGGTCACACTGCCTTTTAAAAATAGGGTAGGATGTGTTGAATGCTTCAACTATAAATGCATTGCAAAATTTGGGTGTATTTCCTCCTTTGTCTTCACCATGTTTGTGTGTTTCTCCATTTAATCATTTCCTTTCTGGAAAACTGTTTGCTGTAAATATTGAAACATGTTCGTTATCATGAAACTAGAGTGTAGTCAATCTTTGTCAACCCTGGAGAAAATGTTCTTGATTGTTTCTGAGGAATTCCTCAGAAACATTCTACAGACTGTCGATTAAAATTTAAGACTAATTCTGCATTTGTTCAATAACAAAAATATATCCTGGACAAAAGAAACTCTGGCAGTCGTGAAATCACAGATTCTTTCAAGGACTATTGAAGGGTAACAAATCTGCTTGTTCCCATATCTCCTTCTGATAGTGGTCCTGATGTTGTTGCAGAAGTGGGTTTGAGTGAGCAGGGCCTGCTGCTGGACCACAACGACTCGGAGCGCTATGAGTCACGCTTCGTGACAGTGCAGGTACAGGACAGCCCAGCAGTCATGCTCAAGGGCATGGAGGGAACAACGTTTGGCATGTGGGTGTCACACGGTGAAGGTGAGAAACATACAGTTGGGGGATTCCAGGACAATTGGTCCCCAGTACCCAAACATTCTCCAGTACCTTATGCTTGTCTCCCAAACAGTCTCCAGTACCTCATGCTTGTCTCCCCAACATTCTCCAGTACCTCATGCTTGTCTCCCCAACAGTCTCCAGTACCTCATGCTTGTCTCCCCAACATTCTCCAGTACCTCATGCTTGTCTCCCCAACAGTCTCCAGTACCTCATGCTTGTCTCCCAAACAGTCTCCAGTACATCATGCTTGTCTCCCCAACAGTCTCCAGTAACTCATGCTTGTCTCCCCAACATTCTCTGGTACCTCATGCTTGTCTCCCATACAGTCTCCAGTACCTCATGCTTGTCTCCCATACAGTCTCCAGTCCCTCATGCTTGTCTCCCATACAGTCTCCAGTACCTCATGCTTGTCTCCCATACATTCTCCAATACCTCATGCTTGTCTCCCCAACATTCTCCAGTACCTCATGCTTGTCTCCCATACAGTCTCCAGTACCTCATGTTTGTCTCCCAAACAGTCTTCAGTACCTCATGCTTGTCTCCCTGTAGGTTCCACATTTGTGCGTGTGTACATCTTTATGTTGAGCACGACTTCTTCCGCGGTTTTGTGGTAGAGCATCTGCACGGTGAGCAGAAGGTACATAGTTTAAACCCTGACCACGTCATACCAAACAACGTAAGAAGATGGTACTTGTTATTCTGCCTGGCGCTTGGCATCAAGGACTGGTCGGCTCAGAGTATACTGTGTCTGAGTGGGGTATTTATGTTAAACTGCGGCATGGTGTCTCAGTGGGCTGTCACTATAAACTCGGCATCAGTCCAGACTAGAACAAGCAGACACACACATAAACACATGCATGCACATGACTATATAAGTGCAATAATCTTGGACACGTCGTTGAACCCCATTTTACCTCACCATGTTGGGTGACCGGTAAGTAGACCCCAGTACTTAATACTCCTTGTAGGTAGAGGATAAACGATACAGCAAGGTCATGGTACAAAACGTATCATGACACGTAGGTCACAATATGATACATATCGTGAATAGGGAAACGTCTTGACTATATATATTTCAGAGCAGGTTTCAAGGAAAAGCTAGTTGTAGACACATAATTGTAGCGGCTAATTTATAAATAGTGAACCTGAAACACTAATTACAAAATAAAATAAATTATATTTGACTCACAAAAACGCCAGGGGGTTTAATACCATTAAACAAGGAGTAAGTAATAGATTTTAGCAAGTGTATCGTCTTGAATCAGTACAGACAAATACATATCGTGCATCAGAATCATGCCCTTTGAAGAGTATTTCAGTTATACCGCATGTCAGCTTAATATAGGAGCAAAGCCCAAAGTGTACCACTTTGGTGAAACCCAGGACCATGGCTTTGGTGCTGACAAGCCTAGAAAAGTAATCGGGGCAAAAAGGTGATTTAAACCCACGATCACAAATCTCTGTATGCTGTAACCTTAGACAGCTGGTCCACCGTGTCCCTAAGTCAAAGTGGGCAATGACTTACAGACTTTGTATTACATTCTATGCAGAATGAACAATTCATACAACATATTTTGCATTCCAGGCAAAATGGTTTTCAAAACAGATGGCTTACATCATGACATCCTCTCTAACAACCTTGCGCCTGTCCGCTACGTCAATGACGATGGTGAAGTGACAACCAACTACCCTCTCAACCCCAATGGGTCTCCCGATGGCATAGCAGCAGTGTGTTCTCAAGATGGCCGCCACCTGGCGATAATGCCACACCCAGAGCGGTGCTTCCTCACCTGGCAATGTCCGTGGATGCCGTACGAATGGCGAGAGGACAACACATATTCACCGTGGATCCGGATGTTCCTCAATGCCTACAACTGGTGTGTGCAATAGACTGTGAGAGTAGGATGTTTCTTCTAGTTATTGGCCGGTCACAGATTTCAGCTGTTGTAAATGGATATCAGCCAGCTCAATGTAAGTAGAGAGACACTGTATTGATGAACCAGGTGCGTGTTGATATCAACAGATTGCATATTGATGTCAGAAAACTCATATCAATATTAAGAACTTTGTGTGAACTGTATATGAATCTCAATATAACATTGATATCAATCAACTCAACATGGATATCAAGAACTCCATTTTGATATCAAGTGGGTATCAATGTAGATGTCTACTTCATATGGATTATCAAGCACCACTGTGAATATGGATATCAGCTTACTCAATATGGATATCAAGAACTCAATGTAGATATCAAGCAACTCTGTGTTGATATCAACATGGGAATGTCAAACACCTCCAATGAATATCAAGCACCTCCATGTGCATATCAAGAAACAGACATCATGCTTTTGTTCATGGACATCCATTTTAGGTTGATATCAACTCCCCAGGGCTACCCAGTGACTGGATATGCATCACAACCTACTACTATCAACTCCCCAGGGCTACCCAGTGACTGGATATGCATCACAACCTACTACTATCAACTCCCCAGGGCTACCCAGTGACTGGATATGCATCACAACCTACTACTATCAACTCCCCAGGGCTACCCAGTGACTGGATATGCATCACAACCTACTACTATCAACTCCCCAGGGCTACCCAGTGACTGGATATGCATCACAACCTACTACTATCAGTATACACTCTGATGTCATGTTACATATGCTTTCAAATAACAGATGAATATGTGAGTGTAGGACATGACTTGGCGCTGAATGCACCAAGAGTCTGGCTGAACACTGTTTGAGATGAGCTACTGTGAGATACATATAGCCCTTTGTGTGATTCTGTACAGTCTCACTTGTTCTGGAGATGGCGTCCTTGTTAGTCGTTACTGATCTGTCATTCGTAAGATAATCCATTATTACTGAATACTTCAGTAGCTGACTGTTACTGACGTTTTATGTAGGAATCTTTACATGTATCCTCCCAAATGTCCAAATGTAGCATGTTTTTTGTCCTGTGTCACCTGTCACACAGTTTTAACATACAGTATTGAAGTGTGAGGTTGAGGCATTAACAACCTACTTACTGTTTCTTTTCAATGCTTACATTATATACATATAAAGCAGTGTTTCATGACTAAATACATAATAAAGTTTTAGATTTGAAACAAGAGAGGGAAACTGTTGATTACACCACACATGACTTTGAGATTGGCATGTAAGCTGAAGAAGTCGACAAAAGCCTATGGCCACTCAGGCACTGTTTAGTACTGATGTTGACATGACACATTCACAGTCTCACTTTCCGGGGATCAATAGCTGCATTGACAATATCTTTATCCCAATATATCAAGGTCATGTGAGATGATTTAAGATTGTGACAGGCCTTCTTTTCAAAGTTGTCTCCCTTGTGCGGACAAATAGCTATAATCATGAGTATACTTATGAGGTGACGCATTGGCAGCTGAAAGTAAGTGTGTTTATTAACATAGGTGGACAAATTTCAAAACTATGACCTTGGTTATTTAGTATGTGTTTTAACCCAATGGTGTAAATATATATCCTCAAAGTTCACAATTTGATGCAGTTGCAGTAACAAGGCTAGATGGACATTATTTCAAGGGGAAGACCCCATTATGACAACCTCACAAACACAACTTACCATGTGCTTTTGTTATTAAGCACATGGGTTTATCTTGGCCTGGTCAGAGGCTGATATTCAGCCCCAGGTCTGTTCTAGATATCAGTAGAACTTCCCAACTTGGAATTATGATTTCCTGTTTTCATGTTAATATTGTTGTGTCTAATAGTATCGTTTTGGAAAGGTGACTTGCATTTCACTGAGAACAGGACCAAGGAAGAGACATTATACAAATGAATACAATGTTGTAATACCTCTGAATTTAAGAAAATTTTGACTTTACATAAAACAACAACAACTTTTCTCCACAAGCCTAAGAAATCTTTGCTAAAAGCAGTGTTGAATTATTATTCTGACTATCTCATGATGTAAAATTCCTAGTTTTGCACAATAATGATTTTTTCAAATTTGCCAGCCTAGGCACTTAATTTAGAATCTGTGATAAGTCCCTGAAGCACATCTCTAGAACATCATATTCTTGTTGTGCTATTGAAATCCATGAGCATGGAGTATGATATATTCAGGCAGGTAATGTTTGTAGGCCCCTGTACATTATGCTGTCTGTTGATGAGACAAGACACGTTTCATTGACTTTCATACTTTCTCTCTCCATTATTGTTATATGTTGCATTGTGGGGTTTGGAGATATTGTTTTTCACCTGGGCAGAGTTATGTCCCTTGGCTTTGGACTTGTCAGTTCTACTTTTGGCCTCTCCACAGTGGTATTGATGTGTACAGACAGCAACCCTGTGCTTGCCTCTTTAAACATATGAACACATTAACCAGGCCGAGTCATTTTCAAATCTGACAAATGCAAAGATGTCTGACCTCAATCTGTGCCAAAGCCTTTCAAGTCTACTGGTCCGAAAAGGTATTTTGGCATTTTTTTTAGTAGACTTTACCCTTAGTATATGGACTTTAGTATATGGACTAGTATAAGCTGGTCTTACTATACTGGAAGAAATTTTTCTTGACTTAGACTGTGACCTGGTGAATACATCTTCCGAGGCAAGCGAGTTAACTGTCTGTAAATGACCAGTTTCCACCCTTGCCAAACTAGTTTGCAATTTTGTGGTTCGGATGTAGCACCACCAGTGACGATTATGGATTGTGTCCCTTCTATGTCCTTCCTATTGACCAATCAACCTCTCATATCAGTTGCATTTGCTTCAAACAAAATTGCAGTGCCCAGTGAAGACAATCTGATCGATAATCGAGATCTTTTTGTAATAAAATGGGTCTTATCTCGCAGAGTAGATCAAAACACTTGAGCACCTTCATAAAAAACATGAACAGATTTGGAAAACATCTGTCGACGCCTATTAGACGGTACATTTGCTCTGCAAATCCGGCAATCAATTGAAATCAGCACGGCAGTTGCCGTGTTGTTTATGAACTGAATGTTGATTTCGTTCCAAAAGTTTGAATGGACGATGTATAGACTCGTTACTCCAGCCAAAATATAACTCCATAACTCAAACCTAGTTTGGCAAGAGTGGAAATTGGACTTTTATAGTGGGTTAACTCCCTTGCCTCGGGAAGATGTGGTGAACATGAAATGTCAGTCTCCATGTTTTGTTAAGTGTTAACAGAATGAAGGAACAGACTTATTTGCTGTAGATGTCTCTCATGTTGCTAGATATGAAGCCAATGTTCTTGGGACCATTGCTTTGCTTTAGCATGCGTGTTACTTGAAGTCATTATTTGATCATTGTCTGTATTGTAGCCAGCATATGAATGTCATGCCAAGTACCTGGGGGCACGGGAGCTGAAGCCTTCTAAAACCAAGCAAGCATTGTGCAGAGTTTTGTCCCTTATATGTATCAGAATCCCAGATTCTCCCTGGCAATGTTTCTAGGTTTGTTAGCACCATTTCTTGAGGGGTTAAAATTAGTGGAAAACATCTAAGACCTGTATCACATTTGGGCTTTCCTCCCACATGAAGCTGACACCATAATATTGCTGAAATACAGTTGAATGCAAACTAAACTCACCCAGAGTGGACAACTGAGTGTTTGTTGTTAGTTTGCTCCTTCGAGGAGGCCTGAATTACAAGGCAAGACGGTCATTGTATGTGGAGAGGACTGAATATGCCTAAGTTGTGGGCCTGAGTTTGTACGTGAAAATGATTTTAGCAGTTTATGTTAATGCTGTAAATAGATGTAGCAGAGCTGTCACCTGGAATTGTAAGAAGTATTGTTCAGAATTGTTCAGGATGAAATGATGTTCAATGAGAATGTCATGGACTTGAAGCCTGAGGATCAAACCATTTGCCAATATCTGTAAGTGGAATTTCAGAAGCTCCAGTAACACAGACACTGGACATGGTTATATAGCTTAGGATTACATACACAGACATTAATTAAAACAACACACAACGGTGACAATCACGTTGTTGGTTGTTTTGTATGGAAAAAAATAGAGAAATAGGAATCCATAAGTTGATCAACTCTTGAATCATTTGGATGTTTTAGGGAATTTAATATCCGCCCTTATTGGCATGGTTTATCAATGTTAGGGGAAGACACCATGTGTAGAGTCCAAGCTATTCCTCAGTGCCTTTCCAGCTGGCGATTGGAGTTTATAAGTTAATATTTAAGAGAAAAGAACTGATTCTTCAAGAACTTCCCTAGTCAGAGAGTTGCAAAATAGTGGTCGTGTCTATAACTGTTATGGGGAGAGAATTCAATAGCTTTTTGTTGGTAAAAAGATTTTGCTTTGAAAAATTTAGAAAACTGTAAAATTGTGTAGAATTATGATTGCTGTTTTCAAAAAGGCGGCAGAAAACTAGAAAATGAGAATGGATCACAAGTAACAAGTTCATTTGAGGACACTTAATAATTAAAATGCCTCATGTAGCTCGGTAGTGCCCACCTGAAATCTAGTTGCTTTGATATTGGACTGAGGTTTTTCATGTTGTAGTGGTTCTACCAATGACTGAGTGGTGTACTTCTCATATCAGATTTTGTATCACTTTGGAGCCTTTGTCAACAGGTTCCGCCTACTGGTTCAACCAAGATTCTGCCTATGAGTTCTGCCTACAGGTTCAACCAAGATTCTGCCTATGAGTTCCGCCTACAGGTTCAACCAAGATTCTGCCTATGAGTTCTGCCTACAGGTTCAACCAAGATTCTGCCTATGAGTTCTGCCTACAGGTTCAACCAAGATTCTGCCTATGAGTTCTGCCTACAGGTTCAACCAAGATTCTGCCTATGAGTTCTGCCTACAGGTTCAAAATGAAATGTATGTGTTTTATATGCTCATCATCCTATTTACCTCAAACATTTTGACCTCAAAAAGAACTTTTCTAAGTTTTAGACAATTGTTTTGATATGACAACAACTCAGGATCGCCTGTTATGGATGGTAATGCAGTCACAAAGTTTGAACATAAGATCTGGTTTTATCAGAAGGAACCACACAAAGTATTTGACAAGATGATAGATTGTAGCAAGTATCCCAGGCATTTCCTCGACTGAGTTATTATGATTTGAGAATTGGAAATTGACAAATTTCCAGTTGCTGTGATTTTGGAGGCAACTTGTAATAAAAGTTTCCAACATGTTACACAGATCTGATGACGCTTGACACAAAATGGTCCTTGTTTTCTTGATGCTCTTCAAAACAGGTTCTCGGGGATTCCATGTGAGAAAATAGATCCCCAGTAGCCTATTCTTGTTGTAAGAGGCTACTAAGTGGATTGGGTGGTCAGACTCAATGACTTGGTTGACTTTATGTCAATTGTCCCAATTTCATGGATCAATCCTAATGACGTAAATTACTGGATTGTCTCGTCCAGACACCATCATTTTCAGCTTGATGTGTGAAATTTTGCAGAGTGTGGTGTTCAACAACAAAGAAATGAAACAAAATGATGCCCTTAATCTTGCAAAAATAATTGAAAATATCAATTTTCTTTATAAGCATTAATGGGCTAGTGTTTGAATTGTAACAAGATAGTTTTTATGGATAATAAACAAACATCCCTAATGTCAACGATTGTTTCAAAATATTTTCCTTAATTCTGATGCTATGATATGCCTACACATATTTTTTGTGAATGACTTCCGTTCTGTCAGAATACATAGTTTTTAATATTTGTTTATCATGATCTCAACATATTGGCTGAAAAAGGACAAGATAGAGTATTTGTATGAAAGTTACAAGACATGTTCGAATAGTTGAAAACTAGCCATTTTTTAGCTCACCAGTCTGAAAGTCATGTGAGCTCATGTCTTTGCCTATTTGTCCAGCATCTGTCATAATCATCTTATTCTCAGAAACCACTGGACCACTGAAGCTGAGACTTCACATGCTTGTTCCTACCTTTGATGCCACCCCAATTTGATCAAGAGTTTTTAATCTGATTTTCAGTGTGGCTGCCATATTGATTAACTTTGTTTTGGGCCATAACTCAGTCATTTTTGTTTAAAATTGTAATGAACAGCTGATAGAGGAGAAGGTCGTTAGTTCAATCGCCGGCCACATCATACCAATTAACATTTTTAGATGGTACGTGTTGTTACCCTACCTTGCACTCGGCATCATGGGGAGAAAACAAAAACTGGTCAACGCAGAGTCAGTATATGATAAACTGTGGCATGGTATCTCAGTGGGCTAGTACTACTGTAAACAGGCACTAGTCCAGACTAGTACAAGCAGACACAAACATGCATATTGCTATATGTGTGTAATGGTGTCGAACAAGATGTTAAAACCCATTTCACCTTACATCACCTCACCTGTTTGTGACATTGTAAGCGTTTACTTTACTCCTCAATTCGCTCAAAGTACATTCTGAACACGGTAGACATCCCGTCAGAAACCATTGGACCAATGTGAATCTGAGTATCACACGCTTCTTCCCACCAGTGACGACACACCGATATTTTCAACAGATTCGAGTCAGAATTTTTGAATATCAATGCTGACAGCAACGTTTGTGTATGTGTATGTCTTTGTTGAAATTTTAAGTTGTGTGACTTCATATCTAGGTGAGCTACAGTGCCCTTGCACTATATCTCCTTCTTACACTTGCAAAATTTGAACTTAATTTGAGTCTTTGAGTTTGGCTGAAATGAATGAAAAACTATGAGCAAGTCTGTGACGTAAGATTGTTCTACTGACTTTATCTACATCTAAGAAACTTGGTTTCGGTCAAACACTTCCTCAATTTCAAAATATTAGAAAGTACTCTTGAAAACTTGCAAAATCCTTAATTTGTATTAAATTTTAGACATACCTATACAATCAAAAGCTGTTATATTCCAAAAGTTCACAATCATTGACATGAGCAAAATGAGCTCACATGCGATTATCAGATTACATAATGATTTCTAAATGTTTTGACCAGTTTCTTACATTATGCAGTGCCTGTGGTCCAGATAGAGGCTCTCCTGTGTTGGTTATACACACAAATAGTTTCTTCTTACTGCCACAAAATGTAATGTAAAAATAGTCAATCTACCTGAAATAGTTTTTGAAACTTATTTGTCAGAGAACCGTTTGTTTGAGTAATGATGAGATGTTAGTTTTCATTGTTTGTCATAAAGTACATGTTATCGCCTCTGTGAAAGTGATGCTGCAGTTGGTTCCGAGAATTCAATGAATATTCACTTGTTCAAGAATGAATTCAGTTTAATTGTGTAGTAAATATGGTGTACATGATGTGCATAGATGTCTAAATGTTGTCTGTTGTGTTTCAGTGAAAGTCTGTCCTTCTTTACAATCGAGCTTCTATTCTACTTACTTTCACAGGTTAGAGAATAACTGCTTTGGCCAATACACCAACAAACATGTTGGGGCAAAAAATGTTTGAGTTTCCCCAGGCCAATTTACAGTTTCGCTTACTTAGACCAATATCTGTTTAAAAGCTTGCCTGGGGAAATTAAAAATTCAGCTTACCAAGGTCAATAAGTTGTCTATAAGTGACTCAGTTTGCCTAGGCTGATAATCAGCTTGCTAATGAAGAGGGGATTCTCATGTGGTCATGAGGGAAGGTTGTCCAGACCAGTAAACAGGTGCACTGCTTGAACATATAAACATGTAAAACCGAATGGATAATAGAGAAGTTATTTTGTTCTCTGCATCACCATCCTGTAGAAACGCTTATAGGTGGGATGGTCAGCCTGTACAGGATAGAGAAGTCATTGTGTTCTCTGTGTCACCATCCTGTAGAAACTCCTATAGTTGGGATGGTCAGCCTGTACAGGATAGAGAAGTCATTGTGTTCTCTGTGTCACCATCCTGTAGAAACTCCTATAGTGGGGATGGTCAGCCTGGGATGGTCAGCCTGTACAGGATAGAGAAGTCATTGCATTCACTGTCACCATCCTGTAGAAGCTCCTATAGTTGGGATGGTCAGCCTGTACAGGATAGAGAAGTCATTGTGTTCTCTGTGTCACCATCCTGTAGAAACTCCTATAGTGGGGATGGTCAGCCTGTACAGGATAGAGAAGTCATTGCATTCACTGTCACCATCCTGTAGAAGCTCCTATAGTTGGGATGGTCAGCCTGTACAGGATAGAGAAGTCATTGTGTTCTCTGTGTCACCATCCTGTAGAAACTCCTATAGTTGGGATGGTCAGCCTGCACAGGATAGAGAAGTCATTGTGTTCTCTGTGTCACCATCCTGTAGAAACTCCTATAGTTGGGATGGTCAGCCTGTACAGGATAGAGAAGTCATTGTGTTCTCTGTGTCACCATCCTGTAGAAACTCCTATAGTGGGGATGGTCTGCCTGTACAGGTTAGAGAAGTCGGCCTCGGATGGTCAGCCTGTACAGGATAGAGAAGTCATTGTGTTCTCTGTGTCACCCCATCCTGTAGAAACTCCTATAGTTGGGATGGTCTGCCTGTACAGGTTAGAGAAGTCATTGTGTTCTCTGTGTCACCATCCTGTAGAAACTCCTATAGTGGGGATGGTCTGCCTGTACAGGTTAGAGAAGTCGGCCTCGGATGGTCAGCCTGTACAGGATAGAGAAGTCATTGTGTTCTCTGTGTCACCCCATCCTGTAGAAACTCCTATAGTTGGGATGGTCAGCCTGTACAGGATAGAGAAGTCATTGTGTTCTCTGTGTCACCATCCTGTAGAAACTCCTATAGTGGGGATGGTCTGCCTGTACAGGTTAGAGAAGTCGGCCTCGGATGGTCAGCCTGTACAGGATAGAGAAGTCATTGTGTTCTCTGTGTCACCCCATCCTGTAGAAACTCCTATAGTTGGGATGGTCAGCCTGTTACATCCATCTGCCCCTGCTTTCCCTTTGAGCTACTTGTCTCTTTTGTCTTGTGACCAGGGAGCACATCATGATAAGATTGGTACATTTGTCTATGACTTACATGTGTCACTTGTGACGTTAAACAAAAAACAAACAAAAAGTTGATTCTGCCCTAATAAATTTGTACAACCCGCTAGTAACACATGTAACTCATCAACAGGGAAGTTAACACTGATGTCAGTCGACTGCACTTTGTCTTTTTACCAAAAGCAACCTGAAATATTTGTTCAACCAGTTTAACACTTCAATGACTGGTCACACGTGCTGACTTGGTTATCCCAATTGTGTAGAGCGATGCTCATGATATCAATCACTGGACTGTCTGGTCCAGACTCGATTATTTACAGACCGCCTTCATATAGCTGGAATATTGCCAAGTACAATGAATTCAATGAATATTCACTTGTTCAAGAATGAATTCAGTTTAATTGTGTAGTAAATATGGTGTACATGATGTGCATAGATGTCTAAATGTTGTCTGTTGTGTTTCAGTGAAAGTCTGTCCTTCTTTACAATCGAGCTTCTATTCTACTAAAGTCACCATCCTGTAGAAACTCCTATAGTTTGGATGGTCAGCCTGTACAGGATAGAGAAGCCATTGTGTTCTCTGTGTCACCATCCTGTAGAAACTCCTATAGTGGGGATGGTCAGCCTGGGATGGTCAGCCTGTACAGGATAGAGAAGTCATTGCATTCACTGTCACCATCCTGTAGAAGCTCCTATAGTTGGGATGGTCAGCCTGTACAGGATAGAGAAGTCATTGTGTTCTCTGTGTCACCATCCTGTAGAAACTCCTATAGTTGGGATGGTCAGCCTGTACAGGATAGAGAAGTCATTGTGTTCTCTGTGTCACCATCCTGTAGAAACTCCTATAGTGGGGATGGTCAGCCTGTACAGGATAGAGAAGTCATTGCATTCACTGTCACCATCCTGTAGAAGCTCCTATAGTTGGGATGGTCAGCCTGTACAGGATAGAGAAGTCATTGTGTTCTCTGTGTCACCATCCTGTAGAAACTCCTATAGTTGGGATGGTCAGCCTGTACAGGATAGAGAAGTCATTGTGTTCTCTGTGTCACCATCCTGTAGAAACTCCTATAGTGGGGATGGTCTGCCTGTACAGGTTAGAGAAGTCGGCCTCGGATGGTCAGCCTGTACAGGATAGAGAAGTCATTGTGTTCTCTGTGTCACCCCATCCTGTAGAAACTCCTATAGTTGGGATGGTCTGCCTGTACAGGTTAGAGAAGTCATTGTGTTCTCTGTGTCACCATCCTGTAGAAACTCCTATAGTGGGGATGGTCTGCCTGTACAGGTTAGAGAAGTCGGCCTCGGATGGTCAGCCTGTACAGGATAGAGAAGTCATTGTGTTCTCTGTGTCACCCCATCCTGTAGAAACTCCTATAGTTGGGATGGTCTGCCTGTACAGGTTAGAGAAGTCATTGTGTTCTCTGTGTCACCATCCTGTAGAAACTCCTATAGTGGGGATGGTCTGCCTGTACAGGTTAGAGAAGTCGGCCTCGGATGGTCAGCCTGTACAGGATAGAGAAGTCATTGTGTTCTCTGTGTCACCCCATCCTGTAGAAACTCCTATAGTTGGGATGGTCTGCCTGTACAGGTTAGAGAAGTCATTGTGTTCTCTGTGTCACCATCCTGTAGAAACTCCTATAGTGGGGATGGTCTGCCTGTACAGGTTAGAGAAGTCGGCCTCGGATGGTCAGCCTGTACAGGATAGAGAAGTCATTGTGTTCTCTGTGTCACCCCATCCTGTAGAAACTCCTATAGGTTGGATGGTCAGCCTGTTACATCCATCTGCCCCTGCTTTCCCTTTGAGCTACTGGTCTCTTTTGTCTTGTGACCAGGGAGCACATCATGATAAGATTGGTACATTTGTCTATGACTTACATGTGTCACTTGTGACGTTAAACAAAAAACAAACAAAAAGTCGATTCTGCCCTAATAAATTTGTACAACCCGCTAGTAACACATGTAACTCATCAACAGGGAAGTTAACACTGATGTCAGTCGACTGCACTTTGTCTTTTTACCAAAAGCAACCTGAAATATTTGTTCAACCAGTTTAACACTTCAATGACTGGTCACACGTGCTGACTTGGTTATCCCAATTGTGTAGAGCGATGCTCATGATATCAATCACTGGACTGTCTGGTCCAGACTCGATTATTTACAGACCGCCTTCATATAGCTGGAATATTGCCAAGTACATTGTTTAACAACAAACAAACCATCTAACATACCTTACATAATGGGGCCCAGTGCCCTTATTATTTCAAGGTGTGAGTTTAACGCAAGAAGTAAATGTCTACGACCTACATTTCTCTCATTTGAAACTGACAGTGTCATATCATCGAAACCAAACCCATTTGTTTATGGGTATATTATAAAAATTGTAGATTTGGCATTTTTCACTGAAAATGTGTAGATTTTTGTTATTATGAGGGGGTTCAAGTTTGTTGAAAGCATCAAAATTGGAATTACAACATGTCCACCAGGTGCCATCTTGGATGCCTAAAAATTCAAATTTAGAAATCTTGTTTTCCAACACTTAAAGTGCCAGAGGCCTGAACTTGGTGAGTGAGATTGTCTCCATACGTAGTTCCAAATTTGTCCGAGACCTCATGGTTGGAAATCATATTGGCCATATTTAAGAATACAAAACGTGCATCATTCGTCCTAAACATCATCTGCTCACAAACCACTGAACCAATGAAGCATGATTGTTCCCATCAACGTTTATTTGGTTGTTGGATATTTTGTTCTTTAAATCTTTAGTTTTAAGTGTTAAATCTTTCAGTTAATAATGTTCTGTTCTTGTGCAGAATTCTTTTTGAATATATTAATGCCGACAGCAACTTTTCTGGTAAGTGGCTTCTTGACATTTCAAACTGTCAAGATATATACAGGTGAGCTGCAGTGCATTAGTGGCACTATTTTGTCAGTACTTGTGTTTGTATCATTTATACAATGTAGCAGCTTGTTATTGATGTGTCACTCTATTGTGACTTGCTCCTTGTTTTTCAATAGTATTGATAATTAGTTTCTTGAGGACAGGGAGGGGTCCGTAACACACTTTAGGCAGGGATGGTCCACTAGTTTGTCAGTCTGGATAACCGGGGACTAATGCCTTGCACTTTGTCAGTTTTGGCAAGATTGATAGAATTCATTCACACACCACTTTTTTGCCAGATTTTGATGATGCATCTAATGATGATGTGATGAGGCAGATGGTGTATTGGTATCATCATGCTGGGTAACACTTGTGATGAGGTCTGTGCTTACGATGGCCTTAGTTAACAAACCAACAAAAAGCAAGACACAGCAGCAAAGCAAGCCCTTCCCTAAGTAAATTTCCTTTAGGAAATTGTGGATATTGTGAACAAAGTAACTCCTGCAATCATTAAGTTTCTCAAGTGATCAAGAGTAACTTGCCTCATCCCATCTCACCCCTACCTTCATGGCACCTTCAAAGACTGGTTAACTCAGTAAATAGATCCCATAGCATCAAGGGTATACACATGCTAAAGCTTTGCACATAATGTTCTTTGTACATGTACTTGGTGACAAAAGTAAATACATATAAAAGCTAAAATAAAGAGAGTTTAGGGGAGGGGTCTGTGCATGCCACTCTTGATCTGATCCTAGACTTGCCCAAGTCTCTAAGGGAATATTTATTAGTTTAAATCATAATTTCTTGATTATATAAAAGATAAGAACAAGTGTAAGAATGTTAGTGGCATCCTTAGTACTGTCTGCTTATCTAGACTTGAGTATTATAAGGATAGAATTACTATGCACCCATGGACTTACCATTCAGTACTATCTTGGACTTGGAGCAAGGCTAGTCTCATCCAGACAGATGGACAGTTGCCAACTGCTGCAAACTTTGTTTTTCAACTATTATTGTCCATTATTAAGTTTTGTTTATTGTGTACTGTTTTAAGTCTAAGACTTATGGATTTAGAATCATATCCCAATACAATATGGTGTTTCAGTTGTAACTATGGCAACCATTGTGAAACTTCCCTTTAGAAGGCTATTTGATTTTGTGAGTGTATATCTGGTATATGTGTTGAATTTTCTAATTCTGTACCATGTTTGTTTTTACAGATACAAATGTTTGTTTTTACAGATACAAATGTTTGTTTAGGTTGCCATATCCAATATGGCAGCGTGCAACTTTGTCCTGAAGGACACTGTCATTTATTAAAGGGTTGAGTGGGCCTGGATTGTCAGATTAGTGTTTAAGAATGTTTGTGTTTTGGCCACCCATTCTTGGCCATTTGGTTTGTGATCCTGCCCCAGTACACACAACTGCCAAAGTAGTTATCAAATGTTTTAGGCATTTTAACCATATGCAGTTGTTCATTTGGATCACGAACTTCCCTCAGTTGTTCAGGTTTTGAGGACAGAAATGTTCCTTAGGGATAAAAAATAATAGTCTTGGTTCTCAGGCACCACCCGCAGCATCATAAAGTCTGCCCCACATTTCGTTTTTATTTCCATTTTCAAAATAATAAAATAATCCCAATACTTAAAAACTATGCATTCCAATATAGCACACAGTTACTTCACTTTAGGTCCGCACTGCTTTACTGTATCTTGTGTTACGGTCCTGCTGGCAATTGGAGTTTGTATGCTTGCTTTTGGAGGGAGGTTAATGGTACACAACTGTTTATTTGGTTACATACTATTGTGAACAAGCCACACACACAAAAAAACCACCGCCCGCCTGCACTATATTTTGAAAAGTTTTGGCCAGAGAACCAAGTCTTTGAATCCCAGATTGGTTATGACTTGTCAGCATGCTCATCACTTTGGATTTGCCTCCCACGACAAGCTGACATGCCCTGATATAACTGAAATCTGATAAAGGGACCTGAAACCTCATTTACTTGCACAATTTTTCAGGACATGAATCTGTGAGACCCACTTTCACTCCCACCCTCTAACTGCCAGGTCCTCCAGGAACTAGTATTCTTGCTTCTACACATTGCTGTTAACTTATGCTCCATATATAGCATCATTGAAGCAATTCACTGACTCTGTATGGCCAATATTTGGTTTTGCTGTGTATCCATTGTTCACGTCAAATTATAGCAGCAACTGCTTGTAACTTTATCATTTATCGGACAATAAATATTGTGTTCAGTTTTTATGATGAGATTTATAGTGTGGTTGTTTTTCAACCTGATCCAGCTCAACAAGTTTCTCCTATGCGTTACATCTTTTTGTTGTTGAATGCTTTGTGTGTTTTATTTGCTTAACAAAACATTCAGCAATATTCCAGCTATATGGTAGCGGCGTGTAAGTAATCAATTCTGGACCAGACAATTTGAAACCCATACTGGTTTTGGTTTGAGGTTGGTTGGATGGTTTGTTGTTTAAGGCCACACTCAGCAATATTCCAGCTATATGATGGCGGTCTGTAAATAATTGAATCTGGACCAGACAATCCAGTGATTGATATCATGAGCATCGATCCACGCAATTGGGATCGATGACATGCATCAAACCAAGTCAGCGAGCCTGACCACCAGATCCCGTTAGTCGCCTCTTACAACAAGCATAGTCGCCTTTTACAGCAAGCATGGGTTGCTGAAGACCTATTCTACCCCAAATCTTCACGGGTCTTTGGTTTGTATGTGTGCCTATATATAGTAATGCAAATATATGTCTCTGGTAAATTGGCAATTCACTCCTGTCATTCCAACTATTTCCACTTCTGTATTCCATATCTGTATTGGGATGTTTAGTAAGAATGAATGCACAATAACCCTTGCTTGTTTTAAGAGGTGTCTAAGTGGATCAGACTGCCAGAGTCCGGTGACAATCTTGGTGCTCATGGTATCGACCAGAGTATGGTCCAGGCTCAGATTATGGACGGACCACTGTGACACAGGTGGAACTGCAGTTGTGAACAAACAATAGTATCTCTATGAAGGATGTGGGTGGTATCTAGCTTTATAAGTAGGACGCAGAAATATATGAAACATTATCTTGAATAACAAACTGTAATGTGCACCTATGAGAAGAGGAAAAAGGAGTGTCAGGTATTGTATAAAAACTGTTTGTCACTACAATCCTGATTAAAAATAGTGACATATGTTTCAGTCATTCATCGTGACTCCTAGGCCTTTTCCATCCACATTAAGCTGAAATATTTTTCAAAGCAACATAAAACCAAACTCCCAGACGCTAAAGTGGGAACATCTTACACCTACCTCACTTTAGGGCTTTCAATCAATATCAATGATTACTCTTAGATAATCATTAAACAATAGGAGCAGACATTTGGTTACAGAGGCCAAAGTAATACTTCCCATCATTATACAACAGGGGCAGACATTTGGTTACAGAGGCCAAAGTAATACTTCCCATCATTATACAACAGGGGCAGACATTTGGTGACAGAGGCCAAAGTAATACTTCCCATCATTCTACAACAGGGGCAGACATTTGGTGACAGACAGCCAAAGTAATACTTCCCATCATTCTACAACAGGGGCAGACATTTGGTGACAGACAGCCAAAGTAATACTTCCCATCATTCTACAACAGGGGCAGACATTTGGTGACAGACAGCCAAAGTAATACTTCCCATCATTCTACAATAGGAGCAGACATTTGGTTACAGAGGCCAAAGTAATACTTCCCATCATTATACAACAGGGGCAGACATTTGGTTACAGAGGCCAAAGTAATACTTCCCATCATTCTACAACAGGGGCAGACATTTGGTTACAGAGGCCAAATTAATACTTCCCATCATTCTACAACAGGGGCAGACATTTGGTTACAGAGGCCAAAGTAATACTTCCCATCATTCAACAACAGGGGCAGACATTTGGTGACAGACAGCCAAAGTAATACTTCCCATCATTATACAACAGGGGCAGACATTTGGTTACAGAGGCCAAAGTGATACTTCCCATCATTATACAACAGGGGCAGACATTTGGTTACAGAGGCCAAAGTAATACTTCCCATCATTATACAACAGGGGCAGACATTTGGTTACAGAGGCCAAAGTAATACTTCCCATCATTCTACAACAGGGGCAGACATTTGGTGACAGAGGCCAAAGTAATACTTCCCATCATTATACAACAGGGGCAGACATTTGGTGACAGAGGCCAAAGTAATACTTCCCATCATTATACAACAGGGGCAGACATTTGGTGACAGAGGCCAAAGTAATACTTCCCATCATTATACAACAGGGGCAGACATTTGGTTACAGAGGCCAAAGTAATACTTCCCATCATTATACAACAGGGGCAGACATTTGGTTACAGAGGCCAAAGTAATACTTCCCATCATTATACAACAGGGGCAGACATTTGGTGACAGAGGCCAAAGTAATACTTCCCATCATTATACAACAGGGGCAGACATTTGGTGACAGAGGCCAAAGTAATACTTCCCATCATTATACAACAGGGGCAGACATTTGGTTACAGAGGCCAAAGTAATACTTCCCATCATTATACAACAGGGGCAGACATTTGGTGACAGAGGCCAAAGTAATACTTCCCATCATTATACAACAGGGGCAGACATTTGGTGACAGAGGCCAAAGTAATACTTCCCATCATTATACAACAGGGGCAGACATTTGGTGACAGAGGCCAAAGTAATACTTCCCATCATTATACAACAGGGGCAGACATTTGGTTACAGAGGCCAAAGTAATACTTCCCATCATTATACAACAGGGGCAGACATTTGGTGACAGAGGCCAAAGTAATACTTCCCATCATTATACAACAGGGGCAGACATTTGGTGACAGAGGCCAAAGTAATACTTCCCATCATTATACAACAGGGGCAGACATTTGGTGACAGAGGCCAAAGTAATACTTCCCATCATTATACAACAGGGGCAGACATTTGGTTACAGAGGCCAAAGTAATACTTCCCATCATTATACAACAGGGGCAGACATTTGGTTACAGAGGCCAAAGTAATACTTCCCATCATTATACAACAGGGGCAGACATTTGGTGACAGAGGCCAAAGTAATACTTCCCATCATTATACAACAGGGGCAGACATTTGGTGACAGAGGCCAAAGTAATACTTCCCATCATTATACAACAGGGGCAGACATTTGGTGACAGAGGCCAAAGTAATACTTCCCATCATTATACAACAGGGGCAGACATTTGGTTACAGAGGCCAAAGTAATACTTCCCATCATTATACAACAGGGGCAGACATTTGGTTACAGAGGCCAAAGTAATACTTCCCATCATTATACAACAGGGGCAGACATTTGGTTACAGAGGCCAAAGTAATACTTCCCATCATTATACAACAGGGGCAGACATTTGGTGACAGAGGCCAAAGTAATACTTCCCATCATTATACAACAGGGGCAGACATTTGGTTACAGAGGCCAAAGTAATACTTCCCATCATTATACAACAGGGGCAGACATTTGGTTACAGAGGCCAAAGTAATACTTCCCATCATTATACAACAGGGGCAGACATTTGGTGACAGAGGCCAAAGTAATACTTCCCATCATTATACAACAGGGGCAGACATTTGGTTACAGAGGCCAAAGTAATACTTCCCATCATTATACAACAGGGGCAGACATTTGGTTACAGAGGCCAAAGTAATACTTCCCATCATTATACAACAGGGGCAGACATTTGGTGACAGAGGCCAAAGTAATACTTCCCATCATTATACAACAGGGGCAGACATTTGGTGACAGAGGCCAAAGTAATACTTCCCATCATTATACAACAGGGGCAGACATTTGGTTACAGAGGCCAAAGTAATACTTCCCATCATTCTACAACAGGGGCAGACATTTGGTGACAGAGGCCAAAGTAATACTTCCCATCATTATACAACAGGGGCAGACATTTGGTTACAGAGGCCAAAGTAATACTTCCCATCATTATACAACAGGGGCAGACAGCCCAAGTGACACTTAGCAAACATTCAAAATCCACTACCGACAATAATGACTGAACCATAATTTCTTGTTTTACTGATATCTATTTGTTTTATAAGTTGATTGAGGTTTTGTGTATTTACGGTTTTACTGTGGGTGTATATAAATTCGTAAACCAAACGAATTCGTACCCCTAGAAATGAGCAATTCCTTTTGGGCTCCTTGATCCTGGTAGCAGTCGAGATGGAGATTGGATATGTATATTTAACAATAATACTAGGTGAAGGTACATAAAGTGATGATGATTTTCATTCAATAACTTTGAATGATGCAATTATGCATTAGGTACGTTTATGCAATATACACAATAGTCCAGCTTTATGTGGGTGTCTTAATGCAATGATTGCGAGGTGATAAATCTGTTTCCTGAAATATCAATAGCCTCTGTTTTGTCCTCTATTCCTATGCGATGAATGAACTGCTCCACCGTGACATCACACAACACATTATAGCAAGAGAATCGCGATAAACATAGCCGTCTGAAAAGTGTGGTTGGAAACCTATCCAACGATAATACTGTCTAAACAAGGCAATTTTAGATTTGTTTGATTGTTGTTTAATGCCGTCACACTCAGCAATATTCCAGCTATATGAGTCTTGACCAGACAATCCAGTAATTGACATCATGAGCATCGATCCACGCAATTAAGAATACAATTACAAGCATCAACCATCAAGTCAGCGAGTCTGACCACCCGATCCCGTTAGTCGCCCCTTACGACATGCATGGGTTGCTGGAGACATTTAGCGTTTCGAAGTTTCCAGCTTTAGGGGTACAAATTCGTTTGGGTTAGGAAATTACTATCTGAGCCATTAAGTGAGGGCATATTTTACTGTTCCACTGTCCCATTAAAGCAGATTTGCCATAGTTTTCCAGATGTTTGTTTGGAATAGATCTGACTACAGGTGTGACTAAAACCGTTATCACCTGCCTCAAATTACACGTCTATGCATCAAATACCCGAGACAGACGCTCATATCAGCCGTCTTAGAATACACTGTCATTACAACTGCAAAACAATTACACCGTGATAGTTCTCTCTGAATCTTTCTTTACAATGTGGAATTCCCTCCCTTGTTTTGACACGGCTGCTAGAATTACTCCCATGCTTTCCAATATCAGAGATATGGGCGCGATACCTACTGCTAAAGTACATAACAGTATAAATCTGAATAACCCATGAGTTCGGATGGTGAATGACTTAATAGCCCCAAACATGAATAGAAATATGGCAACGCCTCCTGAAAATGCACTTAGCGTATTGACCACTGGATGTACTGACAAGGGGCACATCGGAACAAGAAGAATATTCAGTGACGTCACTGGCATGAAAGCCCACGCCAACACCATGACACCGATCCCGAGTTTGTATCTTATAGGAATCTGTTTGCTTAGGAACGCGAGGGATACGCCTTGAATCCATCGCTTCCGCTGTTGAATAAAATCCATGACTGAAAACGTAGACTTTTCCCACATTTCACCTTCTACGTATCCAAATTTGTACCCTTCCTTCCACGCCATGAGGGCAAAGAAACAGTCTTCAGCTAGGCTTCCTTCTGGACCAAAGTCAAAAGAAACCTTTTTCTCAGCGCTGGCATTCGCTACAATAAACGAACCCTTCCAGCTGAAAACAGGTTTGTGTAGCTGGCCAAGGGTGAATCTCAAATTGCCATAATCTCCACCCACTCGGATTAGATCGGCTAAAGTCGTAATCCAACATACGACCGAATCGCTTGCGTATGTGATAACTCCTTGTCCAAACTCATACTCCCCTGAACGGATAAAGTTCAACACTCCTGCGAGTGAAGACTCAGTGAGCAGAGTCTCCTCGTCTAAATGGACTATCCAATCACTCTCTTTCAAAACAGTGACGTCATCTTCTAGCGAGTACTGCAATGCACGTGCTTTGAATAAACTCTCCCGTGATGTCTTGTACCACTTTGGCACAAGCAGTTCTCTCACGTTCAGTAATCCAGTGATGGATATTGGGTTATCCGTCACAACTTCAAAGGTATAATTCTGCAGTCCTGCCTTTGAACACAGTTCGATATTTCTTCTGAGGTTTCTCTTCACTAAATCTGGGTACGTGCCTCGTGTGACCACCCGGAAGCATATTGACCCGTGTGTCAGTGACGTCACAACCCTGGAAGGAACAGGATATGTGTTGCAAAATATTATCCCGAAGAAGTTACTTAGCATTATTGGTAGCGGAATCAATGTCAGGGTCCGTAGAATATACAAAAGTATTGTTGGTACCTTGCCATACTGTGAATATGGGTCAACATTATTCAGGGGTGTCCTTGTGAAGGGGAGAGCACCCGATGCCGAAAACACGATGAACAGAATAATAAGGAGTAGAGCCAGTGTGAGAAAGTGTTTCAGCCGACTTTTCGTTGTCTTCATCCAGGATTCCAAAGAATCTGCAAAAAATAAGTGACAGGTTTTTTGTTTATTTGTTTGTTTGTTTAACTCCGCACATAGCATTATTCCAGCTATATGACGGCGGCCTGTAAATAGTCGATTCTAGACCAGACAATGACGTCATGAGCATTAATCCACGCAATTGCGATATCTGACACCAATGAACAACAGCAAGCTTGACCACCCGATCCCTTAGTCGCCTCTTACGACAAGCATGGTTAAAATGTTAACCTAGATCTTCACGGGTTGATAAGTGTAAGCGATAGAGAATACATGCATGGAGGAAGGTTATTTTGTGCATACAAAACGAAAAACTTAAAATGCAATCTTAGTGACATACACCATCTGTAAAACTTTGCATTTGTACGTCATTGTTTGTTGTTTAACGCTGCAGTCAGGAACATTCCAGCCATGTGATGGCGATATGCAAAGTATCAAGCCTGGACCAGACAAACCAGTGATTGATAGTATGAGCAATGGCCCACGACGTCTGTCTAAACTGACATGCAATTAAGCAACTCACATGACCTGACTCGCCTCTTACGATAAGCTTGATTGCTGAGGACCTATTCTAACCCCTATTTGGTTGTATATGAGCTTGCATAGTAAAACTCCGTTTGTCCAGAAACCCTACCTCCAAGGCGATTAGTGGTAGACAACATTCAAACTGTCGGATGATACTGTAACAGCGGGTCTCACCTACTGTAACCACTGTACCTAGTTTACAGTTAGCTGTCACAAGCATGGACGTACTGGCACCACACTGAGACAAAAGTCGAGTGAATACTAGGTTTTGGTATTGGAGGTTTAAAATCTATCACAATATTTAACAATGCACAATGCCGTATTGCGATACGCATCACGATATATTGTATAATTCTAAATTTTGAATTTAGAAGCAATTTGAAACACAAGTGTATGAATTAAAGTTCATAAATGAAACAAAAACAAGTTGCTGGTACAACGTAATGTTTACCGTATTTTCTTGTGTATAATGCGCAATTAATTTGTGCATCATACAAGTTATAATGAGTTGTAATGTTTTTTCCCTAACCGTGACATACCACCTGAAATAGCATGTCATAAATCTGTACTGAAGTACGCAATTTACTCATGTAATTACACTGTCTGGTTATAAAAAGGGTTCGTTGTATATCTGGACAAAACCCATGAAGATCCGGGTTAGAATAGGTCTTCAGCAACCCATGCTTGCCGCAAAAGGCGACTATGCTTGTCGTAAGAGGCGACTAACAGGATCAGGTGGTCAGACTCGCTAACTTTGTTTATGCATGTCATCGTATCCCAATTACGTGGATCAATGCTCATGATGTCAATCACTGGATTGTCTGGTCCAGATTCGATTATTTACAGACCACCATCATATAGCTGGAATATTGTTGAGTTCGGCGTTAAACAACAACCAAACAAATTATGTCTGTAATTTATTTTATTAATTTTATTAGAAATTTCATTTAATATTGTTGGTGAAGTGTGTGTGGTGATCGGTAGATCACACAACTCACCGTTATTTATTGCTAACTTAATCAGTCACAGCGGCCAGAAGATTAGTAAATATCCCTTGATAATGAGTATATCACACTACTTCAACCACACTAAAAATGTGTCAATATGTAAACACATACAAGACATGTTCAGGAATGTGTTTCAATTCAAAACGTATTGAGAATTTAAATACCTTTAAACATGTTTAATAATGATGTGAATTTTCATAAAGCTATAAGTCAAATATGGATGAGACGTATATTATATTGAAATTAGATGTGCACATCAGATTCACGGGTACTTGCATAATACATATATACCACCAGGACTTACAACGAACTTGGCACAATATTAACATAAAGATGTACAAAATTTAAATAATCCATGCGAACAGTGGTGATAATGAAAGTATATTTGATCACTACTTAGCCTTTTTTAGTTAGTGATGAGAGGCCTCAAAGTATAATAATATACTAACTTATTAGTTAAGTCTGCTAAAATGTTAGTGGAAAGTGAATTTCACTAAGTTAGCAAACTTTACAATCTATTTCTCTGTAGTGCATTGTAACTCGTCTACCCCGTACAATGATGGAGTGAGCAGTAAGTAAAGCTTATTGATGCTCCATATATTCGATTGTTTAGTTCTAGTTATAGAATTGTTCCCTAATCACACAAATTTAATATTGAAAAAAGTTCTTTTATTCATTATAAGTTTAAAAGTCAGTCAAAATCTGTTGAACATCTTTTGGAAACTAGCACATTTCTATCTGGCTAAATTTAGACTTGGAATACAGATCTTAGAGTGACATTGGTTAACTTTGAAGGAATTTGATATTTACAAAGTCCCCAATTAAAAACCAGGGACTTTGTAAATATCAAATTCCTTCAAAGTTAACCAATGTCACTCTAAAATTAGCTTTAGTATTGTATGTGCTTGTTTTGTTGTGTTGCATGTGGTGGGCTTACTGTGTTGTGTTGCATGTGTTGTACTTGAAATGTTGTGTTTGTTGTGTTGTACTTGCTAAGATGTGTTTGCTGTGTTGTACATGCTGTATTGTTTGCTGTGTTGCGTTTGCTGTATTGTGTTTGCTGTGTTGTACATGCTGTATTGTTTGCTGTGCTGTACTTGCTATGTTGTGTTTGCTGTGTTGTACTTGCTGCGTTGCGTTTGCTGTGTTGTGTTTGCTCTTATACTTGCTGCATTGTGTTTGCTGTGTTGTACTGTACTTGCTATGTTGTGTTTGCTGTGTTGTACTGTACTTGCTATGTTGTGTTTGCTGTGTTGTACTTGCTGTGCTGTGTTTGCTGTGTTGTACTGTACTTGCTATGTTGTGTTTGCTGTGTTGTACTTGCTGTGTTGTGTTTGCTGCGTTGTACTTCCTGCGTTGTTTGCGGTGTTGTGTTTGCTGCGTTGTACTTGCTGTGCTGTGTTTGCTGTGTTGTACTTGCTGTGCTGTGTTTGCTGTGTTATACTTGCTTGTTGTGTTTGCTGTTATACTTGCTGTGTTGTACTTGCTGTGTTGTACTTGCTGTGTTATACTTGCTGTGTTGTGTTTGCTGTGTTGTACTTGCTGTGTTGTACTTTCTGTGTTATACTTGCTGTGTTACACTTGCTGTGTTGTACTTGCTGTGTTGTGCTTGCTATGTTGTGTTTGCTATGTTATACTTGCTGTGTTATACTTGCTGTGTTGTTATGCTGTGTTGTACATGCTGTGTTGTACTTGCTATGTTGTGTTTGCTGTGCTGTGTTTGCTATGTTGTACTTGCTGTGTTATACTTGCTGTGTTGTAATTGCTGTGTTGTACTTGCTGTGTTGTACTTGCTGTGTTGTGTTTGCTATGTTGTACTTGCTATGTTTTACTTGCTGTGTTGTACTTGCTGTGTTGTAATTGCTGTGTTGTACTTGCTGTGTTATACTTGCTGTTGTGTACGTGCTATGTTGTACTTGCTGTGTTGTGTTTTGCTGTCTTGTACTGTACTTGCTATGTTCTGTTTGCTGTGCTGTACTTGCTATGTTGTGTTCCCTGTGTTGTACTTGAAATGTTGTGTTTGCGAGGTTCTGTTTGCCATGTTGTATTTGCTGTGCTGTACTTGCTGTGTTGTAATTGCTGTGTTGTACTTGCTGTGTTGTACTTGCTGTGTTGTGTTTGCTATGTTGTACTTGCTATGTTTTACTTGCTGTGTTGTACTTGCTGTGTTGTACTTGCTGTGTTATACTTGCTGTTGTGTACGTGCTATGTTGTACTTGCTGTGTTGTGTTTTGCTGTCTTGTACTGTACTTGCTATGTTCTGTTTGCTGTGCTGTACTTGCTATGTTGTGTTCCCTGTGTTGTACTTGAAATGTTGTGTTTGCGAGGTTCTGTTTGCCATGTTGTATTTGCTGTGTTATACTTGCTGTGTTGTAATTGCTGTGTTGTACTTGCTGTGTTGTACTTGCTGTGTTGTGTTTGCTATGTTGTACTTGCTATGTTTTACTTGCTGTGTTGTACTTGCTGTGTTATACTTGCTGTGTTGTAATTGCTGTGTTGTACTTGCTGTGTTGTGTTTGCTATGTTGTACTTGCTATGTTTTACTTGCTGTGTTGTACTTGCTGTGTTGTACTTGCTGTGTTATACTTGCTGTTGTGTACGTGCTATGTTGTACTTGCTGTGTTGTGTTTTTCTGTCTTGTTCTGTACTTGCTATGTTCTGTTTGCTGTGCTGTACTTGCTATGTTGTGTTCCCTGTGTTGTACTTTAAATGTTGTGTTTGCGAGGTTCTGTTTGCCATGTTGTATTTGCTGTGCTGTACTTGCTATGTTGTGTTCACTGTGTTGTACTTGAAATGTTGTGTTTGCTATGTCCCTTCAAAACAAAATCATGGCAGGGTTGGGCAGTCTCATCCATTGTTACCCAGCTTCCATTACCCAACTCCCCTGGGAGCATTATGTGAAGCTCGTTGCTTGTGAACCAAATAAGACAAGCTCACATCGTGTAGTTCTGATCTCACGATGTCACGATTACCGCCTTGATGATGATCTGTGTAGAAAAAAGGGCCCAAACAGTGAATAGTTATGAAAAAGATCTGATCCTTGGTCCTTGTTTGCCGATGAAAATGTATGAGAAATGCACTTTTACATGAAAATTCTTTGAAATACGTGTACGGGAGATCTGTCATGGTCTTTTGCTACTAAACGTACTTCGGATAGAATGATGTCATTGATAAAGACTGCTACTGTATGCGTTTGACAGGGCGAAGGTTACATATCTCCACGTCACATGTTTTCGAGCCCCCAAGCAATAGGTAGATCTAATCAAGGTAGACGCTTCAACACCCGCTGAGGACATCAAAGTGTTGGCTACTAGTCGCTGACTTTATGTTAAGAATCAAGCTACAAGAGGTAAGATATTCAATATGTTATGAAAACATACCTCAAAATTATTTTTTTTACTAAAACACATTAGTAGGCCTTATGGATGGGGCTCGAAGTCATGTGACGGTAACAAGATGGCGCCTTATCACCTTGGCGAGGCATTATCACTATAAAATTAACAAATCATGGTCAAATCATGTTAACAGAAATAAATGTTCTCAAATGTAAGACTTAATTTGAGTATATTGGGATTGTTATTAGACACGAAATCAGAAATTCTTCTTAGGGGCTCGAAAACCTATAACACGGGGGAATATTTAGCCTTTCCGGGCCTGAAGCCTTCCACTAGTAAGATTCCCTGACGGTGGCGGAACAGCGTATCTTGATATCTAGTTAGGTCTTATATAAGAGGTTTAGTCACAGATTGATGTGTACCCATGTATTCCTTTTCTTGTAATTTTCGGTCTGTACTTACATTTTCTATTTTTCGTTGTCATGTTTCAATGCGATTAGTCGTCACCTTGACCTTCGGTAGAACAGGGGAAGTAACCCAGAATGGAGAACTATAGTTAGAGAGTTCAATGCGTACATAAAGACGATCGCCAAGCTTTAACAACAATTAAGAGTAAAACCACAGGAATAGGACATAGCGCTGGCGTTCTTCTTGTATTGAATCTGTGTCAGGCTGCCAGTGATGAGATGCGGATGTAAGACCAACTATATATATGTATAATATAAAAAATAATCAGCATCCTGTGCCTGTGTTTGGACGCTCCGGGGGCAGTGGTTCGTTAATAAGGCAGAGGCACCAAGTCGATTTACCATTTTCTGACAGAATGTGTAAATGTTGTGTATATAGGTGATAGCCTGGGCTGATCATTGAATCAGAACTGGTCACTAGATCATGCACAAAGTGTTCTGGGGGCGGTCGGGTAGACGTGGTTAAAGCGTTAATTAGCTCGTCACGCCGAAGACCCGGGTTCGATTCACGACAAGGGTACAATGTGTGAAGCCCATGTCTGGTGTTCCCCGCCGTGATATTGCTAGAATATTGCTAAAAGCGGCGTAAAACCATACCCACTCATTCAAGGTGTTCTTAAAAATAAGATGATATGTGGTTAAAAATAAATTGTTGGGTTCCTCCCATCTGTAAAACATAAAAGTTCATTAGGCGGACGGGGATCGAACCCACGACCTTCCGCTCTCCGGGCAGATGCGGTTGGTTGGTTGGTTGGTTTGTTGTTTAACGCCGCACTCAGCAATAATCCAGCTATATGACGGCGGTCTGTAAATAATCGAGTCTGAACCAGACAATCCATGCAGTGATTAATGTCATGAGCATCGATCCACGCAATTTGGATCGATGACATGCATCAACCAAGTCAGCGAGCCTGACCACCCGATCCCGTTAGTCGCCTTTTACGACAAGCATAGTCACCTTTTACGGCATGCATGGGTTGCTGAAGACCTATTCTACCCCGGGTCTTCACGGGTCCGGGCAGATGCGGTATCCACTGTCCTCAAGGAGGCCATGACACAACATAGAATCAAGTTATTTGAGAAGACTCGCGACTTGAAAACATAGAGAAAATCAAAGCGACAGGGCGGTATAATGGCAGGATTCACATATCTGCACTATTTTAATACTTGGCCACAAACGTGTGACAATGGCATCCCAAAATATAAGTATATTGAAAGGCTCATTAAAGTTGTTCTGACCAAACATAGATATCCATTCACATAACTCTGAAATCTGCACAAAAAGTGTGGCCCTTCTCCAGAGAAAACGGGGCATTTTGTAGACCACGCCTAACTAATTTGCGTAAGTTAAATGGTATACACGTGTAGTTTTATTCACTGATGATTTAACTTCTGTTCATATATTTGCTACTGATTTCAGAGACAACCTTTTTATTATAATGTATATGTAAAGTAACTTGTTACATATACCAAAGGAGAAAAAAAGGGTTGACATGTTTCATGGACATCGTGGACAGTTTCACAATATATCAGTTTGTCCGGCTCATAAACCAAAAGGGTAAGACACGTACGTTCTTCCTTTCTGTTTAAAATTATTTTGTAGAGAAACCGTTATTCAAAATTACATGGCAAGAGTGAAAAGGTGCACATACTTTTTTTACGTAATTGTGTAAGTTACATGGGAACTTTGGCTCAGTATCAAAATACTCCACATATGTGAACAGCCAGAATAAACCATTCGTGTCACTGAGTATGAATCAGACCTCAGAAAATAAAACTGACACGTGCTAAATTAAAAAATCTGAGTCGTATTCTACTTTGCTTGATATTTAAAACTCACAACTGTTCATTAACATATACTCTTTAAAAAAAGAAACGCAAAGCCAGATTTGTGTGAGGTAGGAAAACACGAGGAACCGTTCAAGATATTGAGCCAAAAAGTTGTGAAGAGAACACTTGTTGATCGTAGTCATCTCAGTTATCGGTACATAGGAAAAGACCAAGGTGAAGGTTAGCTACCATCAATAACGCGTATTTCCCCCGTTGAAATCGATAGCGGCTTGGAATCTCCTGTCCATGGAAGAGACGAGTATGCGAATCACATCCTGGAAAATGGTACCCCACTCGGCCTGCAGCGCAAAAGCCAACTGCTGCAACGTCTGGGGTTGTGGTTCACGTCGGCAGAGCCGTCCAACCAATTCATCACACAGTCTCTATATCGGGTTAAAATCCGGGGATCTGGAGGGCCAGGGGAGAACATCAACGTTGTTGTTGTGTAGACAGGCTATTGTGATCCGTGCTGTATGCGGCCTAGCGTTGTCCTGCTGGATTGCATCGTTGATGTATCGTGGAGCAGTACGTAAGATTGTCCTGGATATGGACCAAACCTGTCCTACCATGATGGGAGATAGCCGCCTACATCATAACGCTACCCCCACCAAACCTGTCCATTTCCTGTAAGCAGTTGCGTTCTCCTCGACGTCTGTAGACCCGTGCTCTTTCATCCCCTCGACGGAGGAGAAATCCGGTTATTTGAAATGCGGTTGGGGTGGCTGTGGTCGTCCTTTCACGCAGGTGGCGCAGTCGGATGTATCGATCTTGGACGGTAAAGGTTACTCTTGGTCGTCCCGAACTTGGGCCGATCACGTGCTGACCCAAGCTGCTGAAACCGATCCCATAGCCTTGTGGTGGTGCTGGGCGCTACATTGAAAATTCTGATCAAGATTCCCCTGCCTGCAAAGCGGCCTATGACGTTGTTTCTTTGCACTTCTGTTAATCTTGGCATGTTGTTGAACTGTCACTGTTCGATTGACGCAGATGCCAGGCAATCAAAAACCCTGCACGTTAATACCTCTTATAATGCTGCTGCACGTGCAGTACGTGCAGCTCCATGGCGCTTTTGTGAATGCAATGGGGGCGTTTTTCCGAATCGTACGTGTTTCCCGACTAATGGCTTGCATGTCCATGTTGTGATCATTTTGATCCGGGAAATTTACCACTGACACTATAACACATTAAACCCCGCTAATTTTGCTTTCATGGCCCAAAATATCCGTATTGCGTTTCTTTTTTTGAAGAGTATACTTATATTATAATCATACGTTTGAAGTGCATATGCATCTGATTCGTTAGCAATTATATAAATCCAATCTCAAACATGCACAGTTACTACGAATGGAGAACTCCAGATAACTTTTTGAGCAATTGAGTTTTTACTCTAGGGTTTCTATTTTAATTGGGTTATTACATCTTTCTCCTAGTGTAACTAATATCTTTTTACTCAAATATTCATCACTCTATTGGGTATTTCCCCAAAAGAGTGAACATTATAAGATTTAAAAAAAATGAATTAATGTTTTAGTAGATGTACATAACCATAATAACTGTTCTAAACATATAGGCTTGACTCGGAAAGTAAATTAGCTCGTAATTGTGTTCAGGAAATTAGCTCCTTTGTACGCATGCTGAAAAAGCTTAATTGGATATTCACGCGTGAAGTTTTTTTATACATTTGAGTTTTTCATTTGATACATGCGTTTCTGTACGCAGGTTAATGAAAGTAATTTGGTTTTGAATATTTTTTGGGGTATTTTACGCAAATACTCTGCTTATCTGTAGCTCTGTTACGAATGTATTTGTAGTTATAATATTTGTATTTACATCCCCGCCACGACTACTGATCGTGTGGTGTATCACGTCTTTGTTTTAGCACTATGCTGTATACTAATTGTATATCGTCTGACCTTGTGTTGTTCTGTTCCGATGTCCTATATTTCCCCATGCATCTAGTATAGTCATTAAACAGTTCTGTGTTTGTTTATCGTCACTCAGCCATTAATATTGCAGGAACCACATTAACAGTTTTGTCATTTCCATGTATCCGAAAAAGTTTGATATGCTCTTGTATATACAAGTCCACATTCCAAATATATCCTCGGTCAATTATGTCGCCAAAATGAAACCTGCTTCGCAACTGAATCTGCCATGTGGGTAAGGACATTCTTCAACAAGGAATGACGACTGGGGTATCTCCTGTTAAACAATACATACAATCGTGTACTTACAAAGCTGGCTACAATTCTATAATAAGACTTCTTTACAAGGAACTTCAATCAAAAACGCTCTTGAACAAATTACACACTATGGGTGTTTAACTCGTGACTAAATGGAAAGCATGTGCATTCACTCATGGGGTTCTCTCAATGCCGGCTCTTATTGTTTAAGGTATGGAGGCAGTGTGATAATCTCTAAAACAGCAGCTGGTTGGTTTGTTAAATGCTATAGTCCATATCTTAATTGTACAACGTAATAAGTGAGTGTTGTTTTACGCCGCCAATATTCCATCAATATCACAGCGGGCGATACCAGAAATGGGCTTCACACATTGTACCCGTGTTAGGAATCGAACCCGGTTGTTCGGCGTGACGGCAGTAACGAAACACCGAAATACATATGTACATCAATTTATTTCATAGACACATCCATATACATACACTCTTCAAAAAAGGAAACGCACAGGTAGTCTGTTGTTCACTGAACCTGACTACACAAAAAAGCCGGTATATAAATTGGCACTTGTTATTGTCAAATGTTGGTAGCCAGATATTCGACAAACGGTGCGTCAAACGAAGACATTGTCGATTTGCAGTGTCCTAAACAGCATTGTTTTCACCCATGTTAAAAATGTCATGGAGGAAAACAGTAAAGCAAAATGCATGTTTAAGTTATGGCATTCGTAACTCGTGGTAGTGGCTATAAAAAGGCAAGCATAAGCCAATAATTTGTCATTCAATTGTCAACATTTTTCAAGGTAATTTTTTTGCCGTCGAGATGGAAGAAAACGTGTTTATCGTCGTCAAAATGAGCGTTTTGCCCCCAGTGTGTACGTGAATTCGACAATTTCGGTGGCGGTAGTGTCATGGTATGTGTCTCTGTGTCACCTACACCACGAGATCTGACTTGGTTGTACGTCAACGTCAGAACACGCCGCAGACAATCCCACAACTGGCCAACGCGTTACAAGCAAAACGGCACAGAATTACGCAGGACAGA